ATTACTGACTTAAAATTATGTTTTGTTATTGCAAAACATTTGCTATTCATTAGTATATTTTAAACTTGCAGATCATGTGTTAGCTATGAAGATGGTGATCACATCTCGGTTAATCATACAAAAACTCGTAGCTCTTCAAATATCTCATCAATTAGTTCCCAAAACTCTCTTGGTAATGAAAACATTGATCTCCAAAGTATGACATATGAGGTAACTCAACATTTTCATCTAAATACTTATATATATGGTACTTGTGATCCCCAACTAACACTTATACATCAATAACACTTTCTCATGATTTGGATGTAAAGGAATTGAATGAGTTAGAACTTAGAAGACTCGATCGGAGATGTAAGTAGAGGATTATCGCAATGGAAACTCTCTCGGTTGACGACTCATAGTTATGGTACTAAAACCAAAACTCGGTGGTGGCAAATCAAGAAAAAGAACTATGTTGCCGATGATACTCAGTAAGTTCTCCACTTATTTTACTAAACCAAATTAATTCATGTAATTAATTATTAATGGTTATTACTATCACATACAAATTTTGATTTAAACCATGATTACTACTTTTATTTGGGTGTTATTATAGGTGTTCGATATGTCTAGTGGACTATGTGAAGGGTGTAAGATAACAACGTTGCCTTGTAATCATATCTACCACAAGGATTGTATTTCACACTGGTTGAAACAAAAAACGTACGTATGATATAGCATATAAAGGTGGTGATGTGATGGTTCATCACACCGCTTCATTATACATGAACCTTTTTTTCTGTCGACCATTATACATGAACCTAATGTATATACTGTATATTGTTTATAATATAATTAAGGTAAGGGAAGAGGGTTATAATTACATCCAATTTCTAATAATGCTTTTCATCGAAACCGATCTATCATGGTGTCAAATATTATCATTCTTAGTTTAATATGAACTAATAGACACGTAACATCTTACAATAGAAAAAGGTTGTAATGAAGATTAATCATATTATATGGGGAAAGTTATCAGAGACCAAAACTAGAATGGGAAAAAGTCGGTGTGGTGATTCTTTGAGCCTCCAATAATAAGGAAATTCAGGTTTCTTATCTCATACAAAGAAGTATTATACATCAAAATATTTTTTAAACATTAATTGTATTATTTTAGTTATTTGGTTTAAGTATTGCAAGGGTTTTGGATGAAGGAAGAATACGTCAATGCAAAGTCGTTTTGGGTTTGAGTCGTCCATGAAAACTTGCTCCAAGTTAAAAGGAAATAGGACTAAAATTCAGGTCACAAATATTTTACAATTTATATGTGGTGGTTAATAACTTTTCCCTCAAGAAAAAAAATTTAATAAAAAGTTTGAGTTGGAAAGATTTTTAAATTTGAAGAATCAAAAACTGTATATATATATAGAGTTGAAAATATATTTTTGTTAAACGATGCAGCTGTTGGTAAAGAACGTTTATAAGTGAAAAGATGTGAATCGAAAAACACAACCTTTTAAATAGATGATTATAAGCAAAGCGATTAAAAATGAAAAAGTATGACCTCAAAATAAATTATTCAGTTTGCAACATATTTAGATTTGCTTATAAAAACAAAAATTAGTATGGCATGCACAATATAATGTCAATACTTCAGTTTCTCTTAACCGGCTTTTCTTTCTTAGTCAGTTTTGAACTTTTAGCATGCAATATATATAATGCCTTGAAAATTATTATTTATATCATGTAACTATACATTTCAAACTGCCTTTTTTCTTAATTAACATCACAACCGAAACTGAGATTTCTTTTTAAAAAATTTAGAGCTTTCGATCAGGACACGTCAAGATATCTGATGTGGTAATGCATTAGTGATAACGAATCTTGATCAATTTTCTAAATTACAATAAATTAACACCTCAACCCCAACGAATATATGATATAAATTAATTCATATACACACATGAACAACACTCTAATATTTAGACAAGTCAAAGTTCTTATCTAAGTGGTAACCATATCTAAGTAATTTTGTAATTTATTGATTTTATAACGAGAACAATCTTTCTCTCTACGTCATTTGACCGCAAGAAGGTTAATAAATAACATATTTTGATCCCCGGGTTACAAAAATCACTTGAACCAAAAGTACAAATGTTTCTAATGAACAAACATTATTTGTAATCATCTTTTATTCGGTTTTCTCCATTAGTATGAAGACCCATCTTCTTAACCACGGTTATGTGGCCTGACGTACGAGGTTGCTCTAAATAAATAAAATGGTAAATTAAATCGGTTTACTAAAACGGCCAACGTAAGGATGAATATATTTGTTTTAAAAAAGAGATGAATAAATTTTCTATTTTGAATCCATATATCTTTGATGCGTGCGTTAATCGCAGCCATTAACTCATCAACCTGGATTCATTCACTTTCCTAACAACTGCCTATATAATTATATTAGTATTACGACAACATATGCATCATTGACCATCACATCTTATTAAGATGGTTCTTGGACAAATCCTCATAATGGATATTTGTGTATTTTTTCTTTGTGTATGTATATATATAGATATATATGCTTTTGCTTGGAAATTTTAAATTTCAAACCACCATTTCATTGTTAATCTTTAAAAGAGAATTTCCTCCAAATTGATTGAGATTTGAAAGAATTATCCCCAAATATGGAATTACCCCAAATAGAACAATTATGTTAATAACTACTATATATTTGATTGCATTATAATTAAGCATAATATATTTAGTTGTCAAGGACTGTTGCAATAAACAAACTACATACATTCACACAAAAAAAACAAAAAAAACAAACAAACAAACTAAATAGAAACGAAAGTACGAAACGGTTAAACTAACTTACCCAAAAAGTTTCTATCCAAATTTGAATCTCATCACTCATGTCAAAATTGGAGTAAACTGTTAAATGATTCTCTTTATCTTGAATGCGATCGTGGTCTCTTTACGTCAGCGCCGGTGTTTTACGACATCCACACGGTGGTTTCTTCATGCCACACCTATGGTGGTGTATCACAGTGATCGGTGATGTTATGCGGCATTGGTCTCCCATTTCGTTCAAGCGTTGTAAGTTCTAATGGGTAACCGTTTTTTCTTCTCTCATGTGAGTTTCTTTCCGGTATAATTGGTTTTGTTGTTGGATTGTTGTCAATCCCAGCAATCGTTATTCTCCAATATATTTTGTATGTGATCCAGGAATCTCTCTCATGATAGAGGAAACATTAGCCATTAAACGAAAACATAAAACGGCGACACAGCATCAACATAGATTAGATGAAACTAAGGTCGCTGCACACCCTTGTGTAAACGAGAAATTGGTTTCTTTTCATCTTTGGTTATCCGAACTTACTTATTTGGGACTGGAAGAAGGATATGATACGGAAGCTTTAGTATGATAATGTCAATATTTCAAGACTTTTATCGGAAGCATCGGGTTTTGTAATGCGGTGTGCAATTTGGAGGTTAAACCAAGAAACGCTACTCAAGCACACAATTCCTATAAGAGAATGGGATTAAAACTCAGTTGGTCACACAAAGTAATTAGGTGGTTAATTACTTTTCCCTCAAAAAAATAATTGGAGGGATGGTGATGAGAAATCGATGAGACCACATCGATGGTGATACAAAAAGGGAAAGACAATGTGAACAAAAAGAAAAAGATTAAATCAAAAGTTTGAGTTGAAAATATTCTATAATTTAAAGAATAAAAAACTGTATATAAATAGAGTTGAAAAGACATACTCCTATTTGTTAAAAGATGCAAATAACAAAGATGCAACTATTCGTAAAAAAAACAGTTAGAAGTGAAAAGATGTGAATCAAAAGACACAACCTTTTAAATGAGCAGTTATAAGCAAGGCGGTTAAAAACGAAAAGGTACGATCTCAAAAGGCATTTATTCAGTTTGCTATTATATATAGATATGTGTATGTTTTTCATCTCTTACAATTGATACCGTTATGAAATAAAGTTTCATGATATCTAAACTTTTTCCTTAAAAAAAAAATTTATTACTACACCAATAGGGTAATTTTATAAAGCGGAAGTATATTTGTAACACTTTAATTCACAAAAATATGGACATTTAGGTTTGTATTTAGAAAGGCAATTTTCTTTTTGTTGGTTTACTATTAACAACATAGAAAATAACAAATTAGTAATTTACACCTTGAGAAAAAAAAAAGTATTTTACTTTTACACCTGCTGTGTTGGTGAGAAAAAGGTAAATTTATTTAAATAGTAATCTCACACAGAAGGATCTGGAAGCCCTATGCGTACCCAACTATCCCGTATAAATACGTAACTTCTCCTTCTTTTATGTCACCATCTCTCTCTCTGAAGAAAAATCTTTTTAGCTCCCTTGTCTAAATCTGCTTCATAAACCCTAGAATAGAATTCCGATCAACGAGATGGCGGACGCTGAGACTTTTGCTTTCCAAGCGGAGATCAACCAGTTGCTCTCCCTCATCATCAATACCTTCTACAGCAACAAGGAGATCTTCCTTCGTGAGCTCATCAGTAACTCCTCCGATGTACGTCTCTCGCTCTCTCTTATTTTCTCTATTGGTTTATGTGTTGTGTCTCTTTCGATTTATTTGCCTTATCGATCTGTAGATTTAGGTTACTGTTTTCTCCGATTTGAGAATTTGGGTTTACTCATTGTAGTAGGGAACTCTATGATATTCAAATCTGTCTGTTGGTGTAGTGTTGTTACCATTGATTAAGCTAGATGTCAAGTTTGCGGATTTTTTTGTCACTCATGAGATAGATTTGAGCTCTAGACTCTACTTATTCGATTGTTTGTATATGTTCTGTGTATCTGTTGCTTACGATTGAGTGTTTATTGCGTTGATGCAGGCGTTGGACAAGATTAGGTTCGAGTCATTGACCGATAAGAGCAAGCTCGATGGCCAGCCAGAGCTTTCATTCACATCATCCCTGACAAGACTAACAACACCTTGACCATCATTGATAGTGGTATCGGGATGACCAAAGCTGGTACGTATTGATTTCGACTGTCTTGGAGTTTTGTTGCTTTAAAAATTCTGTATATCTGTGTTTGTTTGTTTTGGCTAATGCGTGTTTGTTCCATTGTACAGATTTGGTGAACAACCTTGGAACAATTGCAAGGTCTGGTACCAAGGAATTCATGGAGGCGTTGGCTGCTGGAGCTGATGTTAGCATGATTGGGCAGTTTGGTGTTGGTTTCTACTCGGCTTACCTTGTTGCTGATAAGGTCATTGTCACCACCAAGCACAACGATGACGAGCAGTACGTTGGGAGTCTCAGGCTGGTGGATCTTTCACCGTGACCAGAGACACTTCCGGTGAGAGTCTTGGCAGGGGAACGAAGATGACCTTTACCTCAAGGAAGACCAGTTGGAGTACCTTGAGGAGAGGAGGCTTAAGGATTTGGTCAAGAAGCACTCTGAGTTCATCAGCTACCCGATCTCTCTCTGGATTGAGAAGACCATTGAGAAGGAGATTTCTGATGATGAAGACGAGGAAGAGAAGAAGGATGAGGAAGGCAAGGTCGAGGAGGTAGATGAGGAGAAGGAGAAGGAGGAGAAGAAAAGAAGAAGATCAAGGAGGTTTCTCACGAGTGGGATTTGGTGAACAAGCAGAAGCCTATCTGGATGAGGAAACCAGAGGAGATCAACAAGGAGGAGTACGCCGCTTCTACAAGAGTCTCAGCAATGACTGGGAAGAGCATTTGGCTGTGAAGCACTTCTCTGTTGAAGGGACAGCTCGAGTTCAAGGCTATCCTTTCGTTCCCAAGAGAGCTCCTTTCGATCTCTTTGACACCAAGAAGAAGCCAAACAACATTAAGCTCTACGTCCGTCGTGTCTTCATCATGGACAACTGTGAGGACATCATCCCAGAGTACCTTGGATTCGTCAAGGGTATTGTCGACTCTGAAGATCTTCCTCTCAACATCTCAGAGAGACTTTGCAGCAGAACAAGATCCTCAAGGTCATCCGCAAGAACCTTGTGAAGAAGTGCCTTGAGCTCTTCTTTGAGATTGCTGAGAACAAGGAGGACTACAACAAGTTCTACGAGGCATTCTCCAAGAATCTGAAGCTCGGCATCCACGAGGACTCTCAGAACAGAACCAAGATCGCTGAGTTGCTCCGTTACCACTCAACCAAGAGCGGTGATGAATTGACCAGCCTCAAGGACTACGTGACGAGGATGAAGGAAGGTCAGGAGGACATCTTCTACATCACCGGTGAGAGCAAGAAGGCTGTGGAGAACTCTCCATTCCTCGAGAAGCTCAAGAAGAAGGGGTACGAAGTCCTTTACATGGTTGATGCCATTGACGAGTACGCCATTGGTCAGCTCAAGGAGTTTGAGGGAAAGAAGCTCGTCTCTGCAACAAGGAAGGTCTGAAACTCGAAGAGACTGAAGACGAGAAGAAGAAGAAGGAAGAGCTAAAGGAGAAGTTCGAAGGCTCTGCAAAGTGATCAAGGACGTTTTGGGAGACAAGGTCGAGAAGGTTATCGTCTCTGACCGTGTGTGGACTCACCTTGCTGTCTTGTCACCGGCGAGTACGGCTGGACCGCGAACATGGAGAGGATCATGAAAGCTCAGGCTTTGAGAGACAGCAGCATGGGTGGCTACATGTCGAGCAAGAAGACGATGGAGATCAACCCAGAGAACTCGATCATGGACGAGCTGAGGAAGAGAGCTGAAGCGGACAAGAACGACAAGTCCGTGAAGGATCTGTTCTTCTTCTCTTTGAGACTGCTCTTCTCACTTCTGGTTTCAGCCTCGACGAGCCCAACACTTTCGGGAGCAGAATCCACAGGATGTTGAAGCTTGGACTTGAGCATTGAGGAGATGAAGCCGTTGAAGGTGATGCAGAGATGCCTCCGCTTGAAGACGATGCTGATGCTGAAGGTTCCAAGATGGAGGAAGTCGATTAAAATCTGCACTTTGATTGCAGTTAAATGATTAACGCTACTTGTTGTCATCTCTTTTTATCATATCGGTCTTAGCTTTTTTTTCGAACTCGTTCTATTTTGGTTAATGTTTAAGGAAGACTATCTATTTTGGTTAATGTTTAATGATCACAAATGATGACCTAGTTGAGATTATATTGAGAATTTTCAGTAAACATTTGCAAGATTAGTTCTGAACTTGACTCGTGAAGAGTTTTTATAAAGAAAAGAAGGCAAAAATCTCTCATTCTCATTGGCTCGATCAGCAAAACAGTTTCATATGTTTTCAACATCTACAAAAGGCCGAAGAAGAGGAAAATGTAAGGGAAACAAAAAATCAACGTGAGTGGGGAAATGCGAGCTTCTTAGGCTTTGTCAAGGAGTTGCAGAAAGAAGAGAAAGCTCCTTTGATGTCATCAGCGATTGGGAGAGCCAAAGTGAGTGGTAAATCATCACTGAAGCTTCTGTTTTGGTGTCTCAAGGAGACAGAGTGAGCCAAAGCATTTTGCCTTTTGTTAAGTCCTTCAAGAATGAAAGAGAATGCACCAAAAGTGACACAGCTCTGTAGCATTGCTTGCGGTGCACCTGCAACACACATGATCATATAACGCGTTGTTAGCAAAGGCTACGCATCTATCTTTGCCTTTGAGTTCAATATAGCATTTGCTCTTTTATGTTCTTACCGGGGAAACTAAGAGCAAGGCCGGTGCAGCACCCAGCAACTCCAACGTTAATGGCTGCAAAAATTTGAGATCATGTGAACATATAAGCAAAGACATGCTACTACTTCACTAGACTAAGCATGCATATGCAGTATTTTAACCAAGTGAGGACAGATTATTAGAAGGAGAAATGTTAAAGAGTCTCACCATCATCTTTCCCTCGCAGTTGCTTCAGAAGACAAACAACCAAAGTGTGTATTCCAGATAAAACCGCAAAAGTCTAACAAGAAACCACAATTATACATTGAATGATTAGCATACCTTAAATAATAGCTGCAATTCTTGAAAAGATTATTAAGGGTTTAGGCACCTTTGCAGATTGACCCGCATCAGCAAATGATCCTTTAAATCCTTTCTTCTTAAACAATCCAGAACCTGAAACCCAACTTACATAGTGAGATATATAGTTCCATTAGACAAAACAAGCACATAGACTGATTCTCCAGTCACAGAAAGCTAAGCTAAATTGACTGCAACATAAACAATATTTGAGGAATGCTCTTTTGTGTAAAAAGCTACACCAATGAAGACTACACAGTCCAATTTTGTTCTTTAGAAACTCAGAAATCTAGGCATAAACCCTTCACACACTCATGAGTGCTCAAATTCTTACTCAAGTAATCTGGTTGTTCCTCCAGTCGTTAGAGAATGAAGTGTACGCAGAAAGCTAAGCTAATTCGACTGCTAAACTTGAGTACTCTTCTTCTTTGGAAAAACTATGCTAAAGAAGTCTACACAGACACCATTATTTTTCCTAAGAACCTCATGAATCTAGAGTTTTAGAGAAACCTTCAAGGCTTACTCTTTACGAGCACCTATGCTTGCTCAACCTCTAAATTAAATAATCTGGTTGAAAATCAGATAAATCTCACTCGCTAACAAGTCAACACAGAAAATTATCCACAACGAGCACAACCAAATAAACTTCAACATAGTACTATATAGAAATGAAGATATATAAAAAGCATAATCACCATAGCCGAATATGGAGCCCATGACGGCGCCGCCAGCAGCATCTCCGGCGAAACGGACGAGACAAACGGCGGGAGGAGGGATTGTCAATGCCTTGGAAGAGACTTGATTGGTCACAATCACATCATTAGAGTTTGAATCGGAATCGAGACTCGCGTCGACGTCGACACCGTTTGAAGAATTCTCGGCCGCCATAGCTGAAGCCTCCTCTGAAGCTGAAGAAGATACACTTTCGTTTTTCTACCTAATCTTCAAAAAAAATAAAAATAAATAACAAACAGATCATTTTGTTTATCTTCTTCTGCTTTACTTTTTCACCTGTAGCCAAACACTTTCTATGGGCCTTTGTACGGCCTAATATAGACCCACTGTGTCTCTAGACGAGGAATCCTCATATTTACGTACAAGCCCCTCTATTTTACAATATTTTATAATTCTAACCTCTGTTTTTTAGATTTTAACTTCTTAACCCTGTGCTAAAGTTACACGACCGAATCGAAAATTTAGAAACAGAGATAATGAATAATTTTGGTGAATTATACTCAGATTACACGGAAACCTGTTTTCATCAGTTACACACCTCAATGTCATACACAAACAACAATGGAAAATGTAAAGACAACAAGAAAATGTAAGGGCAACATAATAAGAAGATGAGATGACCCAAGATAGACCTTATCTGAAAGACTGAAACAATAGTTTTTGTTCTTGAAAAAATCAAATGACCGATTCGTCATCAAATCAGTAACGGTCTTGGTCTTGGTATATGGCTCCAAACTCAGCTCTCCACGCCTGATCGTCTGCATAATCGTCATAGCTAACCACACCGGTTCCGTGTTCTTCCTCTTGCTCATTCTCCTTGAACCACGGCTCCAATGCAGACCCTGGCAATTTGCTTTCCGCAAGATACTGCTTCATTGTGCTCATTTCTGTTTTGTGCTTACTCTTCAACTTCTCCATTTGATTCTTCAACTTCTCATTCTCCTCTTCAAGTAAACTGAAACGTACCTGCAATTACATTTTCGAATCCAAAACCAAAATCAACACTATAATTCACAACCGAACCAATCAAAATTGCAAGGTTTATTAGTTGGTGAGAAAGTAAAAAAGTTACCTCAGAGGATCCTACATATTGCTCAGCTTCTCGGAGTCTGATAAGTAATTCTCCAGCAGCTTGCACAGCTTCAGCTGTATCTCTCAGCTGGATCTTAAGTGCCCTGTTCTCCTTTTTCAAGAACTCTCTTTCTTTCTCCTTCTCAGCTCTAATGGCAGTAAGCTCAGCTGAAAAAGCCTTTGCAAAACGCTTCCCATGACGACCTTTCACAGCTGCTTTAGCCGCTGCTTTCTTCACATCGACTATTCCCGCCATCGTCACACTGTGCGTCTCAGCTAACTCATCATACTTCTCCTGAAGCTCCGTGTACTGCTCGATGAATCGACTGTGACCAAGCATGGCTCTGCCAAGAGCGTCGTTTAACTCCTCTGTAGCCATTTTCTCCTTTCTGAGCTCCATCTCCAGATCCTCTGCGTGTCTACGGTGGCTATCAATGTCCATTCTTAGATCATCTGTCAAAGATATCCACTCACTCTCCATTTCTGTCCACTTTTCACGTTCTTCCTCTAGGACAACATCGCTGTTGTTGTTCTCAGCGTTCTTGGTGAGATCAGTGCTTTTCCTCATTTGGAAGGACCTTAAGAGCAGAGATGATCTCAGATTATCTGTTGATTTTGCAGGCAGCAGCTTGCTCTTGAGCTCTGAAATCTCCTTCAGAAGAGCTTCCTTTTCACTCTGGTCAATCCTTATCTTCCCAAACTCTTCACCTAGTTGGTTTGTCTCGTATGTTTCCTTCACCACCTCTATTTCATCTTCTCCATCATCAGATTTCATTAGCTGCACAGTTAAAAATGTGATTTGTCAATAACAATGTCTTGCAAACAGTGGTTTTCAATGTTCTTTGAAATGTAACTTGTTGGCTTACCTTTTGTGGCTCTTGCACAGTGTTCTGTTTGTATTGGTCCAACTGAAGAATTAGCAAAACCAAAATGTCAGAAACCTCAAATTGTTAAATTCAAAATAGTCTCAGCATAGTTTCATAAGATTCTCACCAGACGAGTTAGCTGCTCAATTTTGGTAGCCTGTTCCACACACATGTTCTTGAGATGCTTCTCATCCGTGCAAGCTTCTTCTGTTGCCTTATATCCTCCTCCCTGATAATAAAAACATAATAATGTTGGTCAAAACGAATATAGCCTACTAAAAAGTAAAGTGAATGCATCTCATCTCAGGTTTTGTAGACATACTTCAGCTTCTTGGTCAAGTTTCTGTCTGCAAGAAAGGCAGAGAAGAATCGACGATCCACCTTCTTTAGGTCTATCTTCCTGTAACGACTTAACCGAAGCACGAAGATTCTCAGCTTCATCACAAGGCTTCAAAGACAGATGCCCAAACGAGAAGGAAACAGAAGATCTGTTTGACAGCGAGCTCCGTTGGTGACAGTCTATAATCTGCAGTCCTCTCTGGAGACTTGCAGCTAAAGAATCTGTTGGACTCAAAGTCTTCTTGGACACAGAAGGCCCAAACTGTTCTATGTTGGAGCTTTCAGCTACAGGCCTAGGACTCGCCTGAAACTTTGATGATGCAGCCACGCTCTTCCTGAAGTTCCTAATCTTTGGAGATTCTGACAGAGGAGGCTCTTCAAGAATACGTGTCTGATGCGGTAAACTGATTGAAATCCCATTTTTAGCAGTGCTTTTAGAATCAGAATCAGCCAAAGCACAGTCTTTGTGAATCCTCTCTACATCATCTGAGCAGATCTCATCATCTCCACTCATCGACTCTGCTTCACAGCACGAAGCACTTGCAAAGGAAGATTGCATAGAGTCTCTCAAGTCGTCATCAACATCAGAAGAATAACTGTGAAAACTCTCAACGTGTTTGTTCAGCTCCATCACATCACCATCATGATCCTCACTCAGATCCATTGTTTCTTTATCTGAATCTTGTTTGTCTCCACATGACATGACTAAAGACTTGTTGATGCTCATTCTCAACTGACTCAAGCTCTCCCTCTTGAAGTGACCACCACTCTTGCTTCCGTCAGGTTTATACCCATCAGACTTTGTTCTAATTAGTTCCTCCTATAATAAACCAACAAAACCATACATTATACACAAATACCATTCTGCAGAAACACACAAAAAATATGTTACAAAAAAAGAAGAAGCAAACCTTAAGTTCACGAATCTGGTCACCCAATTGGTCATCTTCCTCCTCTGTAATCTCATTAGTCATCGAGTTACTTCTTGTGGAGAGTACGCTCCTGGTTTCAAACTGTTGTAAATTCAATTGAATGTCAGAGACTGAACAATGACTTTTGAATCGAAAGGAATTAAAAGACGATTCAGGATCATATGATGACAATATCTGTTACCTTCAGTGGAGAAATCGAATCAATATTCTCTTTATCTTCAGAGTAAGTATTTGGCCCAAATTTCTGAACCTATCAAAAGTTTCACAGTGTGTTACTAAGTAACAATAGAAAGTTTGAAAACTAGAATCGGCCTAATATAGAGAGTTCTTAGGTCACGGATTTACCTGAGTTTGTTCTTTGGGGAGAATCGGGGTCGCGGAGGGAAATACTTTCTGAGGCGATTTTTTCTTCAATTGGAGATCGTTGTTGTTGTTGGTGTGATGATGAGGAGTCTGTATGTTTGGGTCGCAAGGAGGAGCGTTCTCGTCGTTTGATTTGAGACTCTTAGTTTGTGAATTTTGGATTGATTTCTGCTTCGGGTAGATGGATCTGGGAAGCAGATTTCGGATTGTAGAAGTCGATATGTTTCCTAAGAACCGATTCTCTCCGATCTTCGCAGGGGACTTCATCGTTTTTTCACACTGAGATAGAGAAACTGGAGATTTCTAGATTTAGAAAGAGAGAGAGAGAGAGAGAGAGAGAGAGAGAGAGAGAGAGATAGAGAAAATGGGAACGTTTCGTGTGTGAGAGACAGAGGAAGACGATAAGGCGTTTTTTGAATGTTGAAAAATATGATCCGACCGTTGGAATTCGAAATGCAGGAAAAGGACAAAAGTGAAATTAACAATGTGGGACCCATTTAGAGTCGTGTTTTGAAATGGGCTTCGGTTGTTGGGCTATTTATTGGGCGTATCGTGTTTGTAACCTGCATGGCCTTTTTATACTCCAAATTCCCATTTTATTTCCCAAATTATGTGATACAAAATTTTTCTTTGCCTTAACATAATGTTTTGGAATAATTTGATTTCACCAACCAATAAATGTGTAAACACATGAACAGCTGAACCGCCCGTGCACAAATCAAATTTGAGTTTCTTTTCGTTACTAACGACTTGTATTATTGGCTTTTTGCAAGTAACTAGTTGAGATTTTTTTCCTGTGATAGATATAAGAGAAAACTGTTTGAGGCGGGGAGAATAATTAAACAATAATTTGGAATTTGGAGAAAAGTTGATTTATATCCGTTAATAAAATGGAGTATAAGATTTTAAGCAACTAAAAGAAAAGAGTAGGCACCGAGATTGATGATAGTGACATTTTTTATGTTATAATGTCAGCAATTATAGTTTGAAAATTTTGGCATGGAAGCATATATCTCCAATAATTGTCAAAAAGAAAAGAGAAAATAAAAAAACAATGATATTTTTTATTTACACATGAATAATGACAATATATAAAACTAAAAATCAGCACTTTTTCATTATTTCAACTTTATTGTGGGTTCTACACATCTTCAAAAAAAGATTCTTAATGTCATATCTAACTTTATTTTTAATGTGTAGTCATGGATTCATATCCACTCATTTTTTCATAGAAAATAATATTTTGTAGTAGTTGAAAAAACTATAATTACAAATTTAGGTTTCTATTTTAATTTGCAAAAATTCGGTAATTATTATAATGTATATTTGTTTGAAAATTCATAGTTAGAGAAAACAAAACAAAAATAGATATAATCAAGAGATCATGTGAGAATCACTTGATATGCTTTGCCAAAAACTGACGAGTGGGCCCCAAAGCCCATTAGCTCCCAATAAAGAAAATGTTAAAAAAGAAAAGAAAACGCTCTCGTCTAATCTTTTTCTTCTTTTCATTTTTGCGATAATATTGCCAATTTACAAAACCAGCAAGAAGAAGACTCCATTAACGCTTTTGCCAGCCAAAAAGCTCACAGCTTTCCTTCTTCCAAAGAACTCTGCAAGTGATTTCATCCGCGTGAAGTAAGCTTTGCGAATTGCGATCTTTCCCTTTTTTTTTAAATAATGGAAAAGCTTTATAGCTTTCAATCAACTTTCCATAGCCGAAACAGTTGAATTTTGTCTATATGACTATGTCCCACTTTCTTAGTGGTCCGCCATTGAAGTGACTGTGCAAAACCCTAATCTTATCTCTCCCTCTCTCTCTTTCTTAGTTTCTTTCCGCCGACCTCTAAGATTCCCAATCTTTTTGTCAACATACTAACAGTTTTGCATTTAAGTCTCTCTTTGAAAAATCGTCTTGTTGGTTTCTAACTTTCTTGTGTAACTCACATGCTTGTTCTTCTTTCAATCATCTTCTGACACGACCAGGCCTGGCTTTTGTCTTTTACTACCCTTTTCTTCTTGTTTTAAGTTTCTCTTTGTGGGTTGTGCTCTGTTAGAAAAATCAGCTGACTTTTCTTCCTACCTTGGTTTCTCTTATTGCGGATCAGAGCTTGGTTTTTGATTTAAGGTAAGTTTAATTGAGAAATGATCCCTTCTTTTGTTTGTGTTGAGTGCGAGCTGTGGCAGAATTTCGAGTTTGTGCTTTCATTTCTGATTAGATCGAGCAATAAATTTGGAAACTTTCAGTTAGGTCATCCATTGTTGTCACTAGGACAAACTCTATTCCTTTATTGTGTAAAACCGCTCATGAATTGTTTGACTTGGCTAGAGTTCGAATATTTTAAGACATGTACCTAAACTTGACTCTAGTTTCGAAATTTTGTTGTTGTTGAATGTGTTATCTGAACTTGATCTGTGGATTTTGGCTGTGTCGATTATTGATGGATCATGGATCCATCTTGAATTTCGATTAAATTTCTTACGAGTTGTAATCTTAGGGAAGAAAGTTCGTTTCATTGTTCTTGAAATTCACTCCCCTGTATAGCTCTGCTTAGTTTGGGCTAAAAGCCTGAAAGAGAACTCTTCCAAGTTTCAACTCTGATTTTTGACATCAAACTGTCCTTTTGGTTGGTGTTTGGGATTTCAGTTTGTGGTTATTCTAGGTTTTTATTTCCCAAATCTGTCGATTTAAATACTTGATCTTTCGATTTCATTACATCGTTCTCAAAAAACACATTCTTTCCGGTTTCAGTCTTTGTATCTGTTGAGGCTGTTAGGCGCAGTTTAGCAAAGAACAACGCTTTTTTGGCTTGCAGTTACATGAGCAATGAAAACAATGGAGAGTAGAAATATTCAAACACCATCGCTTAGTGGAAAAAATGCTCAGCTTGTTGTTGTACTAATCACGAACACATAATTCACTTCTGAGAGTCATGTCTCTTCTGGATGTACAAGTTGCCAAGAAAGATGAGGACCATTTACATATACTGATACTGATACTGATTGGCCTTTATTTTTGCAGGATTGTTTCTAAGGTTTTGCAATGGACTCCCCACAGTCTGTTGTTTCACCATTCAAGATTGGTGAGTCAGAGAATGAGAACTCAAATTCCGTGCAAAGCACTGGAAACCGATCAAATGGCATCAAACCCAATGGAAAAGATTCAAACAATTGTGGCCGCCAAGACCTTGTTGGTACTCTTGATGTTTATGTTCATCAGGCAAGGGACATCCACAACGTTTGTATATACCACAAGCAAGACGTTTATGCCAAGCTTTGCCTTACAAGTGACCCTGAAAAGTCTGTCTCGACCAAGATCATCAACGGCGGAGGGAGGAATCCGGTTTTCGATGACAACGTTAAGCTTGATGTCAGGGCTCTGGACTCTTCCCTCAAATGTGAGCTTTACATGATGAGCAGGGTGAAGAACTATCTTGAAGACCAGCTTCTTGGTTTTACTCTGGTTCCCATGTCGGAACTCCTCTTCAAGAATGGGAATCTCGAGAAAGAGTTCTCTCTTTCTTCCACTGACCTGTACCATTCTCCTGCTGGTTTTGTTCAGCTGTCTCTCTCCTACAATGGATCTTACCCTGAAGTGATGGCTCTTCCCACTACTATGACTTCATCTGTTTCTGGTGATGAAACTACCAAGAATCAAGAAGGGTCTGAATCAGTTCCTGATGAGATGGATAAGATAGAGTTTCCAGATCCCAATGTGGCCAATGAAAATGAGCAAATGGTTTCCGAGTATTATGCGATCTCCTGTTCCACTATTGAGTCAGAAACTTCTGAGAGCTTGGTTACTTGTGACACTGAGAATCATGGAACCGACTCTGTCACTTCTAAAATGAAGCAAGAATCACCTGAGAGCAGCAATGCAACAAATGGAGCTGCTTCTCCTCACGCTTCAGCTCACTCTGGCACGGAGAAACCAAACCATGATGCAGAAACACCAAACCATGAACATCTCTCTGTCGTGAACTCGAAAGCGGCGAGTTCCCAGGAGTCAGAGAGTGAGGCTTCAGGTGAGACATCCGAGGAGAAGATTGTGAAACCCGTCCTCAATGTTGTGAGGGTTGAGACAGAGTCAAAGGTGGTGCAGCAGGATATAGTTGACATGTACATGAAAAGCATGCAGCAGTTTACTGATTCACTTGCTAAGATGAAGCTTCCTCTGGACATTGATAGCCCAACAAAGTCTGAGAATTCAAGCTCTGATTCTCAGAAGCTGCCAACACCAAAGAGCAAAAACGGCCGTGTGTTCTATGGGAGCAGGGCTTTCTTCTGAGCATCTGTTTTACCAAAGCTCAGAGGAAGAACGCACGCAGGTTACTACTCTTAGACCTTTTTCTAATGAAGAAAGACTAATCCTAATGATGTAATTTTATAATGTACTATTTGATGTTGTATGTCCTATCTGGTCAGCTTGATGTTTTAGTTGATGTGTAAGTTATTACTATGTATTACACTAGCCTTTGCTCTACTAGAACTATGTTTCGCATTATATGAACTTCTTCTGCCTAATCATGTTTGTCTTTTTTTTGAATTGCTGATTTTTACATCCACAAGAATCTCTAAAGCATAGTGATCAATGCTAAGATTGGTTAATTATTTGTACAATCATCATGTGGTGTGATTGTCAGTTTGTCACTCTCTGGGTCCCACTTTGTCTTTGTGACCATCAAGAGGAGGTCCCATGGGTGGGGAGAGAGAGGCAAAGGATCCAATGATTCAGCTTTCTGAATAAATCTTGAGAACAAATGTTTGTGTGATCTTTGGTTAGTTGGAATGTCGTTTTCATAGGATCTTGAGATGTTGCTTTTCTGTCTTTCATACACCATGTCCATTGTGGTAAGTAAGGTTAAGGGATCCAACAGTAAATCGGTAAAGTTTCAAAGAATTATCATACGGTTACAGAGACTTAAAGAAAATGGATTTGTCTTAATTAAAACTACTTTCTCTTAGTGTTTACTTGTAGACTAGCTAGCTAGCAAGCATCAGAGAGGAACTTGGATCACTTCATTGGCTCTGGTGATCATATGCCGTTTGCAGATCCAGGCGATGGACCCATCATCTCTGTATCGAACTCGCCACAAGCCAAACTTTTCCGCAATGTCCTTCCCGGTTGAACAATTCTGTTCCCTCAAGTAATCAATGAGCCACTGTTGAGCTTCTCTTTGGTCTTGCTCTTGAATACCTCTATCTCTGCCTCGGTTCCTACCAACAGCAGCAGCAACCCCCATGGCTCCTGCAGCTCCAGCCGCTCCAGCTATGACAGACGGGTTGGTGGCAAGGTGAGCGATGGCGTGGCCCAAGTCAGGTATCATGTGTCCCATCCCAGCTGCCCAGTTTGCTCCTATCCTCAGTGCAAAAGTAAGCAGTGTCATGAAGCCTGCCATGTATGGAGCCAAGCACTTCACAGCGTAGCTGTCTAGCTGAAACACATCACACCCAAGCTGATCTTCCACAACATGCATTTCCCGTCTAAACTCGCATAGCATGTGTATCCTTAGAGAAACCATCCCAGGAACCATTGATGTGATCAGTCTTCTCCCGTATTGCTCTGGTCTAATGAAGTAAAACATGTTTGGAACTTTTCTCTCATCCATCTGGACGTTGTAGTTGACAAGGTAGTTCACTTTGTGGTGAAGCTGGATCAGAAGCCTGTGCTCGTAGTATCTCAGTCCTTGGATCTCTTGCTTCAGGTCTCGTATCTCTTGCTCGATAATCTTCAGCCTCTGGAGTACTGCTTCTACACCTTTAGCGATTCCACCGAAGCTAGGATCAACTGTTTCCAGCTCATTGGTCACTGGTACTGCATCAGGGTTGTCCTCGGTGGGAACTTGTAGCTCTTGAGCTAAGCTGTACAGATCATGGTACCTTCTTTGCAGTACTTCTCTGAAATCATCATCAGAGAAGAGGTCACGTGCTAAATCAAACCCTTCTCTAAGAACAGTCTTGCCAGAATCTTGAACAGAGTCCCATGTGTGTTGATAGTCATACATAGTCTCTGCAGGAACTGATGACAATGCTTCTTTTAGCCTCTGGAGGGAAACAAACTGACTTTGTCTGAATCGCGGTGGAGTTAAGTCCTGGACGCATTGTGGTCTTATGATGTGCTCAAGGAGGATTACACCGTGGCAGCTGTTCTGGATAGCCGGAATTATTAGCTGGTTTATGAGCCTCAGAGTTTCTGTCAAGGTCTTTGTTGAACAAGCAAGAACATCGATGTAATTTCCCAACTGTCCTCCAAGCTCCACTCTAATATTAATGCCTTGGATCGTTATAGCTATGAGGTACTTCTCAAGGCTATAAGTCGCCCCATGTTGGTTCTTCAGTTCCATGATTCTGTTGTGAAGAAGCACCTGTGAAATGCAATATGAACGATGATCAGTAAGGTTAGAGTTCTCAAGAGACGAAAGAAACAGAGAGTTTTATTTACCTGTATACTATGAGGTACTTCTCAAGGCTATAAGTCGCCCCATGTTGGTTCTTCAGTTCCATGATTCTGTTGTGAAGAAGCACCTGTGAAATGCAATATGAACGATGATCAGTAAGGTTAGAGTTCTCAAGAGACGAAAGAAACAGAGAGTTTTATTTACCTGTATACGAGGGAAGGAACCAGCTGTCAAGAACATGTGACTTGAATCATCGCACTGAAGATGCCTGCCTGAATAAACACAGTCATGTGTGTTTATCTGCCATTTCTGATTCTTTCCTCTGCCTTCTTCAAGAATCGATGGAACCAATAATGAAGAGTCTGGATTGGAAGGGTCTTGTTCATAGCAAAGCTCTACTCTCTTCATCATCTTCACAAGGTCACCTGCATCTAAATGCTCAAGTACCTTTGAGGCCATCCCTGGGATTGGACTCTGCAAACTACTTTTCAGAATCTTCTCCAGCTCTTTCCTACTAACAAACCCATTTCTTTCCCCAGTGCTTTGCTTTCTTACATCAAGCTTTATCAACTGAGCAAGAACCTCTCCACAAAACCATTCGTAGTCTAGTATTAAAAATCCCAACTCATGAAAGTAAATCACTTCTCCTGTTTGGTGAAGGCAAGTGGCTATGGCTCGCCGTCTTGTCTCCACAATCTCAACGTTCTCATTGCGAGACTTTATCCTCAGAGAAGGAACCTTGAACTGGCAGAGATCCGCAAAGGCTTTCCATCTCATAACAGGTTTGTTTGAATTCTCTGATCTCCAGTCTGATAAGAGCGGTACCATATCATTGCAAAGCTGATAAACACGAGGGACTCTTTGTAAGATGGCTTTGCTTGACATCCGAATATGATGTGTGAGTTTGCTAACCGAAGGAGATGATCTTGCATCGACAGTGAACACAGTCGGATAGAAATCAACCAAAGCTTGAAACTTATCTCTCAGTCTCTGAATAGAACCAACAGTCGCCTGAAAGCTCTCCGATTGGTGCTGATTAATTTTCTCCGAATGCGTGAGAACAATCGTCACGTTCGGGTTCATGCACTGTTGTCCCGCTTTTCTCGAGTTGGAAACAATAAATCTAAGCCAGTATTGAAGCTCTTCTTCAACTTCTCCTGGCGTCTTGGGCTCTTTATTGCTCGGTTTCCTAAACAAGCTCAATACAATCAAGAAGAGACAAGGACTTGGGAACATAAGATCATGAAGAGCGTATAACTCCTGCTGCCCGGCGAGATTCCACAGCGAGATCTTCGTTTCCTCGTCCTTGAACGTCTTTATCTTCATCCCACTAACCGTTTTAACAGCTTGCTCCACAGGGTTCATCAAAGTCCTCACATTCTCAGCATAAGGAAAACCGGAAGAAGCAGAGAAACTTTGCAATATAGAGTTCAATAATGTTGACTTGCCTGCATAGTCTTGTCCACAGAGGAAAGCTCTGACACTCTTTGGCTCAGTGAGTGGCATATCCTTAAGCGAATCCATCTCCACTTCATCATCAACCGTCCCACCATTGTGCCCCAGCTTCTGATAAACCTCATCTGCTTTCCCTGACTCATGAAGCGGAGTTCTTGCTAAATCAATCTCCTCAATCAACGGATTAACCTGCAGTGTCTCAGTGATTGCCTCCAAGACTCTATCACCTCTAACACCTCTGCATCCTTGCAACGAAACCCGTCTCAAAGACGCGTTCTTCTGCAGGTTCTTGAAGATGTGCACGAAGTCATCAGGTCCTAGGCTCGCATCGTCGTGAATCCCGAGATGTGTCACCGTCTCGTTCGTCGTCACCATCTTCAAAACCGCGGTGAGTCCATCTCTTCCGATCTTTGTGTTGGAACCTCCAAAGACGATTGTCTTGAGTGTGATGTTTGCTTGCAACTGCAGAGCAGAGAATCTACTCAATGGACAAAGCAAATCCTCTACACCAACGCTTCCAAACCGATTCCCATCAACGTACAAACTCTGCAAGTTCTTGTTCTTGAAAAGTCCAGCTGCAAGATACACGACGGCTTTGTCTTTGAGACCGGTTTTGGAGAGTTTCACTTCTCTGAGAGTCTTGTTCTGCTCGAGAACCCATCGGAACTCCTTCGCCCACCGTGAATTCAGCTTCGCTCCGGTCATGTCTAGAGACCTCACCGTTGTGTTCATCCCTAACGCTGCAGCGACTCTGCAAGAGCCGGAAATGTCAATCTGGTAGATCCTGAGAGTGTTGCTCTCAGGCAAGAACTCAACGACCTTTGAGCTTCTGTCTCGTTTGTGGTCTCCGCTCCAGACGTGAACCTCCATGTCTCTGTTCATACCCAAAACGGCAGATATCAATGGCGTCGCGGTGGAGGGATTCGAGTCGAAAATGGAGAAAAGTTTCAAACTTGAGTTTGCTTCTATCATCTTCGAGAGCTCTTCTGCTCCTTTTGACCCAATTGAGTCTTCCCAAATCTGCAATTCCTCTAACGAGTCGTTTACTTCGAGAGCCGACCCGAGAAGCGTAGCTCCTCTGCTTCCGATTCTCGACTCTAGGAACATAATCTCTTTCATCGAAGTGTTTCTTTTTAAAATCTCTGAGAGCTCGCTCAGGCATTGTTCGCTGAACCTGTTCTTTCTGAAAGCAAGCTGCTTTATCTTCGAGGTGTTGTCGAGCAACAAGCCAAGGCTCTGCAATATCTCGACTTCCCACGAGATTCCTCCGAATTCGAGGTTCCTGAGAGATGGCTGGGTCTCTAGAGTTGTTGCTAGCTCGATGAAGATCTGGGAAAGTGAAGTGAGGTTGGCTCTGGTGACGTTGATGTTCATGGTGTTGTCTGTTATGAGCTGACAATGCGTGGTTTTGCCGGTGGAGGTGAAGGATAAGGTTTGAAGATTGAAGCAGTTTTGTGATGGGTCTTTGATTGCTTGAAGAAACCATGAGAGGTCTATGAAGCTTTGGTCTGCCTCTGACGCCATCTTTGGGTAGAGAGAGAGAGAAGAAGAAAGGTAAAGTGGGAAAATCAATTGGGTTTTTTTGCAGATTTACAGATGGATTTTGTTTCTTTATTGAGGTACTTTTTTGAAAATTTAATAGACAACAAATCTCGATATTGATGAGTTTGAAAATGCTGTGTGACTTTTTTTGTTTTATTTTTACTAGTTGGGGACTGTATATAGACTACAATATTGTTCCTTTATAATGTTTGATAATTGCATTTCAATTATATTAACAAATCACTAACTTGATAATGGAGAAATACTTATAAAGTAGGTAAAACTAAAAGAATTTATAAAGTAAACAATATTTTCATTATTGTAAAGAAATAAGACTTAGATTTTGAGCATTACAATATGGTAACTTAGAGTGTGTTTATAAGAAACAAATCTACAACTGCCGTTACCATTGGAATTTTGTTTGTTGACCATAAAAAATACAAAATATCCAATTTACCGTTGATATTAGCTAAATTAAACCTTTCAAAAAAAAACTTTCACGTCAAAATCTTTTTCGAGAAGGCGGCAAAAGTCGCAAAAGTTTTGGACCGACTCTTATTAATGGGACCTGCGTGTGTCCGACTGTCTGTCTAGTCTAATGCATGTTCTGTAATGATACTGATTTCTTTTTTTTCTTTTGTTAAAGAATGATACTGATTTCATTGGTTTTTCTTGATAAATGATTTCATTGTTCACTAATTCTAGAGAAATTAAAACTTTTTTTTATGAAATTGAAAACTAAAAGTATATCAACTTTCTCAATCAATTTTTTTTTTGGTTTGGTTAATTAATTCTATTACAGCATCTAGTTATATCTTTTGTTCATTTCTAAATCGAGTATGGAATATCAATGTTTACAAAAAAAATCTTCCAAACTAATAAACACCAAAAAAAGTTGAGAAAGAAAAAAAAAAGACCAAAGTAAATATATCTCATTAGGGATATATGCAACAAAATAGTCATATCCCTCTCTTACACAATATTTTCCCACGCTAATTGAAAATAAAAAAGAAGAAAAATCACAGTTTTCATGATCAATTCGATTCGAAAACAAAAACCATAAGAAGAAAATTAAAATTACAAAACAGAGCACAGAACTCTGAAGAATCTTGATCGAAAATTCTACGATCTTTGTTTGGTTATTTCTATAAGGAAAAAAAAAGCTTTAGAGAAGAACTTTGAAAGCAAATCTTCATCCATCTTGCTGTATCTTTGACTGCTACGATCTGATCTTTATGTAAGAAAAAGGAAAATAAATATGTTTCTGTTTGGTCTAACAAAGAGGCAAAGACTCACAAGAACCTCTTCAAATTGATTGCTTTCAATCTACAAACCTCTCACCTCTTTTTTTTCCTCCTTGGTTTTTTCATAACCTAAGCCGCAATACCTAAACAAAACACAGATCATAACATTTTAGATCAAATGTAACAAAGTAAAAAACACTTTTCAAAACAAACAAAGTAAAAAATGTGCTTACCTCTATTAGTTTGTCTATTTCCAACATTATAGCTTCCATTGTAACCTTCTGAGTCATTTGCAGACGGGTCTGAACCTACATTGTCAATTTCATAACCATAAGAGCGAGACAAAGCGTCTAGCTCATGAGAAGACTGATGTGGCAGCTGCTGCTGCTGCCACGTTGAGTCGCTGTAAACCGAGCTCCCTCTGTACAATTCCCCTATAGAACCTTCAAAACCGTTAAACGGAGACGCAGAAAGTCCAGAACCGGTCCCAAAGTTTCTTCCTCCGTAACCATTATTATCATTACCACCAACAGCAGAAGAAGGAAGTCCCCAGTTTCCTCTATTGTTTCCAATAGGCACATTCAAGTTCCAACCAGGTCCTCCAGCTGCAGCCTCGGTTCTGTTTCCCCACAAGTCTCTATTGTTAGAGTTGTAAGGAGACTCGGTTCTGTTGTGCCCGATCGGAGAGGTGTTGTAACGGTTTGGTGAAGCGCCGTTGAAGTAAGGGTTGCTCGGAGTCCGGTTAAACCCAATTGTAGAACCAGCTGTTCCATCATAGCTCTGATTCAGATTCATATTCATACTCAAACTCAGCTCATGATTCAAACCGAGGCCGAAACCAGAAACCGGATTCCTACCGCTACCAATCACAGGACTAAACCGGCCACCACCAACAGAGCCAAGACTGTTGTAAAAGCCAGGACCAGGAGCAAAGTTATTGAAGTAGCTATTAGCAGCAGACATCATCCTATTACCTCCTCCATAGTTGCCACCAAAACCACCACCAGGAAGCGGGCTTCTTGCGTTAGCAACCGGCGAAATCTCCTTAGGCACAGCTCTTTTGACCTCGACTAGCTTCCCATTGAGCTCATGGAAGGTCTTGTGGAGGACTCTATCAACAGCATCATCCAATTCAAATGTGATGAAGCCAAACCCTCTTGGCCTCTGAGTGTTGTGATCATACATCACCACAACGTCAGTAATAGAACCAAACTGCTCAAAGTAGCTCTTGAATTCCGGTTCGGTGATGCTTGACGGTAAACCTCCCACAAAGATCTTCCTCGTCCTGCCACCACCACCACCACCACCGCCAACGCCATGGACAGGTGACATAAGGTGGATAGGACTTGCGTGCCGTTTCAGCAGCACCTGCTGATCATCTCGTGGCACGGCCTTCTTCGCCTCCACCTGAACAAAAAAAAATAAAGCCACGGCCTTTTTCACTCTACCACTTCCAAAAGTTCTCAATTCCACAAACAAACCAAATCAGATGATTCTAAAGCAAATGCAGCTATCGAGAGATCTCAAAGATCTGAGCTTTTTCTTATGATCAGGACTCAGGAGTGTTTTAAAGTGGGATTTGATGAGTTTACTAACCGTACGGCCATCGATGATGTGTTTCTCCATGATCACTCTCTCTGCGACGGAAGGATCTGCAAAGACGATGAATCCGAAGCCACGAGCACGTCCTGTGGCACGATCTCTCATGATCACAGCTTCGACAACATCACCATACTTGCTAAAATAGTCTCTTAGCTTCTCTTCATCTGTGTCCCACGATATCCCACCAATGAAGAGCTTCCCCAGATCCGATTCCATCTTTTAGCTTCTGCTAAACAATAAAAATTTCAACTTTAATCCCAAAACAGAAAACAGAGCAATCGATTTAGGCGAGAATCGTAAAGACGGGATTTTTATGAGTTTTTAGCTAGAGTTGTCTCAGATGAAATTGGAAAAAATTAAAGACGTGGGAACATACTTTTGTTGTCTGCAAATCTAGACGGAATCCGATCTTTGTGTTGTGTTTGTTGTCCTGATCAAATAGCGAAATTGGGTGATCTTCAAATCTGAAAAAAATGCATCATCAAAAATCATAAAACCAAAAACCAAAAACCCAGAAACGGAAAAATAAGAAGAATAACGGCAGAAAAAAATGAGGGGGCAATGACTAAACGCTAGATTAGAGAAGGCAAACAAAAAAAAAGTGAACTTTGAGAATGAAAAAAAAATAAAATCACCATTTTTGGAGATGACCCAGATGAAGAAATGTGGAGAAAAAAGAAGAAGAATAGAGAAACAGAGGATGTTTTGTTCATCCTATAAAGAACATATTTCTGTCTCTCTCTCTAAGGCCTTATCACGATTGCCTCTCTCTCTCTATCTCTCTCTAAAGCTTATTAAATGGTAAATGGTTTTGTTTTCTTTAATAATGCATTAAGAAGAGTTCTTTGATAATTTAAAACAAATTAAAAGAAAAAAGAGAACAATAGTCAGTCTCACCTTATAATAATAGGGCAAAAGGTTTGAGATTTGGCTTTCTTATGGTTTAAGCATCTTTTTTAGGGGGATTTGTAATAGAGGGGAGGTCCTAAAGAGAAATGGCAGAAGATGATGACTACCTCTTTTGTTCTTAAATTTTATAATATCTCCAAATCAAAATATAAGAAACAAATTGAAAAATAAAATAAATGATGACTTGAAATTTAAAATGTTCCCAACAAAATCTCGGCATATTAATAATTAGATTTGACCCCGCGTATAGGCAAGTTTATTATCATATTTTTGAAACAAAAACAAATTGAAAAATCATATGGAATTTAAAATGTTCCCAAAAAAATCTCGGCATATTAATTATTAAATTAGACCTTGCACATATCCGAGTTTTATTATAATATGTTTGAAACAAACTACAAAAATATATTAAACAAAATTTGATCTTTTTAAAGTAAGTAAAATAATAGTATGAATTGATATGAAACCTATAAGTAAAATAAAATTGGGTTTCAATTTATATTTTAATCATAATTGACATTTTTTTAATTCATGATATGAAAAATCAATTAGTTTTTTTATCTTAATCTAATATGGAAAAATACTTACATGTAGTCTATATGTGATCGACTAAATAATTTATGAAATTTTAATTATTTCATTCAAATAATTTCATTCGAATGAATCTTTTCTTTTATTCTTGTTTTATTTTTAGAAATATGAAAATTAGAATATTATACCATATTTTATTATTATTAGTTAGTTATTTTTCAGTATTTGTTAGTTTTCTGTATATATTAATTTTAAAAATAAATGTGTTAACACATGTGATCATCTGATCAATAAGTTATAGAAATTATAGATGTCAAGTTTTTATCGTATGCATCCAACTTTATAAATAAAATTTAACCATACATTTTATGCAATTGATTATTCTACTTTTGAATTAAGACTAAACTAATACTATCATGGAGACCCATAATATCAAGTATATGTGACCTAAAATTTTAAATAAACAACAGGACAATGGGTTGCAATATTGTTTAAAAAGACCTATTATTCTAGATTTTGTGTGGTAAAGTTGTTTTTTTTTCTTTAACAAACTCTTTCCAATATTTAAACAGGGATCGATGGGAACACCAATTCTAACTAGACCAAAATAAGTTGATGACTATACGTCATTTAATACAATTTATTTCATTACAAACTCTAAATTAAAGCATAATAAAAAAATCTTTTGCATTTTTATGTTTTTCCTCAACAATGTTTTTCTTACGTTATCATTCTCTAGAAAATGATTGTATATATAATCTGAGTAGAAATAAGAAAAAACTGTGAGTAAACAAAAACCTAATGCACCTCAATTTAACTTAGTGGTGTCAGAGATTCTGTCTGACTGGTGTCCTGACATCTCGAATTCAAACTTTAGTGCAATTTAAAAGAACATAAAAACGAACTTTTTTTGGGACATCGAAACAAAAACTAACTGTAATGATATAAATTAATAAATATTTCATTGGATGGAGAATATATGGACCTAAATTCAACTTGTCTTGTTCGTAGGTAAAGTCCAGCCAAAAGGATCTTTCTAGCATAATGATGTTTATGGAGTATATAAAGGATGCATTATGATAAACAATAATCAACTCTTGCAACATTTGGACTTCTGGATGCTAGTCTTATAGACAACTCACTTTTAGTTATTTTACAAATTATCATTGTTGTTGTGAATAAATCAGGAAATTTTCAAAATAATTTGGGTTTATGACAGTGCATTTCCATTAAAGAATAAAAAACATAAACAAACAGGAAAATTCTTGTTTTTAATTTTGTGCGTAATAAAATAAGTAGTTCGTATAAGGATATTTATTAAAATATCATTTATATATAATTATGTTAGTTTGAAACAACTGTTTTCTTGGTGTAACATGATGGTGGTGGTGTGTGATTATGCGAAGGACAACAACTTTTTGGAATTTTAAATCTCATGCAAAGTTGTCGTTTTTTAAGATTATAATATCGTTTCTCTTTTTATTTTAAATTGTTGCAAGCTTTATCAACTTGCAAGAACAACCTTTTTTTATATTATTCAGGATTTTTCCTTCTTACCTAATTTGTTATGGTACACCATACATCTTTTTCTCACCGTTCAGCTTTGATTGTTTTATGATTGTGTGATTCAAATGCATTTTGTAATCAGAAATTCAACAGTTTTATTTTTACACCTATAAAATGTCTGACCAAATGTTATGAAATGAAAATTCCACATGCGTATTATTAATCTGGATCATGGTGTAAAAAACAAGAACCGTAGAAACAAAAACAAAAATCTACAAGTGCTTATCAACACGATTAATCTTAAAAATATCAATCAAAAATCACTAAGAAAATCCTCGGCAGAAAAAATTATAACTAATACTATTAGACACTAAAATATACTCCCTCCGTTTCAGTTTATATGTCGTTCTAGCCTCTTTTTTTTATTCTTATTACTTGTCGTTCTCCTTCTTTAATGTAACTTTTGTTGAAGATTTACAAATATAACCTCAACTAAAATAATGTAACGTGTTAGAATATATGAAGAGTCCGTTTATCAAACTGCAGTAAATGTGTGGACTTGGCTTAACATTCCTCTGTTCCATCTCGTTAAACAATCCAATCGCTTCTTCATACTTCAAAGCCTTCCTCTTTCATCTCTTTGTAAACCTCAACAACTCTCAAAAGATTCAACTCCTGACCCCAACCTTTGAGTAAGAAAGTATAAGACTTTACATCAGGATCAAATCTTTTCTTCTTCATTTTGTCGAACACCTTATGTGCATCTCCAACGTTTCTGGATTTGCTTAAAGTATCAAGCAATCGATTGAAATCTGTGGATTCCATCGTAGTCCAGGCAGCAATATAGTTAGTCTCTGATCTGTGTATTACAGATCTGTGCATGAATCTGAAGTATAACTTCTAATCAAAATCAAGCTTCATTCATTCTCTTTAATTTCACTTCTTCTCAGTTTATCCATGGTGAAATCAATGCTTTTGCAAAATAATTGGGCTAAAAAAAAAGCTTCGTTTTTGTGTATCTTAGACTCTATCGGAGAAGATGACTTTGGCAATTACAGTATATATTTAGAAAATAAAAAGGAATAACATTCAATTCAATATAAATAAAATTGTAAATTGTTATTATCTGTGAGGTTAAAATTGTCAATTAATAAAGTTTCTTAATTTGTGTGCATTGCTCTAGAACGACATATAAACTGAAACGGAGGGAATAGTTTAATACGACATAATTAATTCTGATTATCTAGTAACCTGAAGACTTTTTTTGTTAAATTTCGAACGTAATCTTGATTTACAGCCTATAAATTACATATGTCTCAATATACGAATTGTATTACAACGAGCAAACTCCTATGGCTGGTAAAAACCGTATAACAACCTTTTTTATTTTGATACTTGCCCTTACATCGACTCTTTCTCGCGCGTCTTCTTCTTGGCAAAGAGAAATTTTACCATTCCGTATTTGTAGTTTTGTACTGAAAGAGTGAAAGCAACCAATTGGTTAATCTGTAGCCAGATAGATTTAAGCTGTATATGAATGAGTCTTCTTTTTGTTAATCTTTAGCTCTTGATTTTAGTTCATCTGAATCTTCCTATGCATCTCCTACTGTATATAGTTTGAATGTTATTGTACTGTTGTATATAGATATTAATTCTCCGATCATTACTTTCATAGATCACATTTATTCTACTTCATGTCAAAAGCATAATGTATGGTTTAGGAAGATAAGTTGGCAACCGAAACTAGACAAGCAAAGTTGAGCCCACAAGTTTAGTTTTTGTCATCAAGAAAGTTTTAGGTTTTTCGATTGAATCATAACTTAAGCTTTATTATTATCTGGACTTTAATGTTCATACATTAATTGGTCTGTTGCCATTGTTAGAATTAAAAAAACGTAAACAAACAGGGGACGAAAATAATAAGGATTTTATTAATTTTAAAAGTGGGTGTGAAGTGTGAACGATAGCAATCCAAATCCATGGTCTTCTTTCATTCTTTCCTCCACCAACTTTGAGCGTGACAACACTTTCACAATCCTGGTTTTTAAATATTGTTTTCAGTTCTTTTTTTGGTGCAGGGATAATTTTAGGCTTTGATTGATGATTTTCACATAACCACATTAATTAAGTTTTCAAACACGATTCGGTAAGAGCATCTTCAACTTAGCCCTATATTTCACATTTATTGCCATTTTGGAGTCAAATTTGTTCCAAGCCAACCCCATTTTCAACTTCAAAATAGCAAAATGCTATAATTTTTCCCATTTTGGGGATGATCCCATTTTCAGTTCCATTTTGGAGTTGAACTTTTTAATTTATATAAGAGTCCTTTAAATTTTAAATTATTTCAGTTTAAGATATATAATTAATTATTTTGATATTTGTTTACTCTAAAATAAAATAACACATATTTAATATGAAATTTAATTATTTAAGCTAATAATAAATTTAAAAAGAAAGGAAAAATACTTTTATTAGAAGTATTCAAATGGTTTAGTTGATCATTTTATGGAAAAATATTCAAATGGTTCTAATTAAAAATAAAATCCAGTTTGTGTTGTTATTTTTAGTCTTGTAATGTATTATTAATATTTAAATAGTTCTCAGAAATTGTGAAAATTTTGAAGAAAAATAATTATGGGGCAGTTTGTAATATATATAAATATACAATGTAAGTTTAGTAATTAATAAAAAGTTTTTCAAAGAAAATAAACTTAGAATATTCTTTTTGAAGCAAAAAATGAAGCAATACATTGGAGCAAAACTCAACTCCATTTTGAGATTTCTCTATTTTGAAGTCAAATATGGGGCAATACTTTGGAGATACCCTAAGAGCATGTCCAGTGGTGATACTAGAGGGTCTCAAACATGATTTCACAACATTAAAATAATAGAAACAAATAAAAAAGAAGGAAAGAGAAAGTCAAAAAGTGTGAGACATACCTTACTGACGATACCGTATCAACAAAAGAAGAGACTTTAATATGAAGTGGCATCATATAATTGGTTAGTTTCATTTCTTATGTAAATTTAGTTATTCTTTAAAAATTATATTAATATAATATGTATAATATACTGAGACTATAGTATCACATATAAAAATAACACATATTTAATATGAAATTTAATTATTTAAGCTAATAATAAATTTAAAAAGAAAGGAAAAATACTTTTATTAGAAGTATTCAAATGGTTTTGTTGATCATTTTATGGAAAAATATTCAAATGGTTCTAATTAAAAATAAAATCCAGTTTATGTTGTTATTTTTAGTCTTGTAATGTATTATTAATATTTAAATAGTTCTCAGAAATTGTGAAAATTTTGAAGAAAAATAATTATAGGGCAGTTTGTAATATATATAAATATACAATGTAAGTTTAGTAATTAATAAAAAGTTTTTCAAAGAAAATAAACTTAGAATATTCTTTTTGAAGCAAAAAATGAAGCAATACATTGGAGCAAAACTCAATTCCATTTTGAGATTTCTCTATTTTGAAGTCAAATATGGGGCAATACATTGGAGATACCCTAAGAGCATGTCCAGTGGTGATACTAGAGGATCTCAAACATGATTTCACAACATTAAAATAATAGAAACAAATAAAAAAGAAGGAAAGAGAAAGTCAAAAAGTGTGAGACGTACCTTACTGACGATACCGTATCAACAAAAGAAGAGATTTTAATATGAAGTGACATCATATAATTGGTTAGTTTCATTTCTTATGTAAATTTAGTTATTCTTTAAAAATTATATTAATATAATATGTATAATATACTGAAACTATAGTATCATGGTTGGATATGCTCTAAGTACAGTATTCCTATCTGATCAACAATATGATCGAAACTGAAGATGGTTCATTTGGATTTTTCTGTTTACCCGTTATGGGCCTTGGAATATTAACGGGTGTGAAAGCATTTGATTATCGATGTTATGTTTTTAGTTTAGTTAAAACATTTGGGTAGTAAAGTACGACCAATCTCTAAACCTCACTATACTATGAAAGCTTTTACATTTTTGTAACTAAAAAGTAAAATGTAACATAGCCCATTTTACAAAAAAAATAACAATAACATACCATGACATAAAATATGATGTACTAATAGTCTAATACTCACTGCATATTTACCTTGGATTCAAACTTAGTAGTTATTAGAATTAATGTGTGTATCTGTAAGCTGATGAGAAAATAAAACTTATATACCTTCAAATAAAAACATAGTTTCTCCTAGTAAATAAATTAATAAAAAAATTGGTCTCAAGAACAAAAGTACAAATCAAATATAAATCGGTTGGTAACAAATGATTTTCCAATTGCTAAAAAGTTAAACAATGTATTGACTAGTCATATATACATATATATAAATAGTTGACTATCTAACACAAATGCTGATCAGTGGGCATGCCAATGTCAAAGTCTCAAGATACGAAACAGCTGCAAATAAACATGACGTGTGTAAGAGTATATAAATGCTCAAAAACGGAATGAAACATGACGTGTGTAAGAGTAGATAACTGCTGAAACAAAAAAAAGAGAGAGACAAAAAGGGAAGAAAATAAAGTGGTATGTGGTGTAATTTTTTTAAACTAATCAAATTCTAAATAAGATCAATATAAATTAAATTATCCCATACTCTTATCGTAAATATTGAGGCATCTAGAAATCATAATTCCTAAACAAAAACACATAAGAAAAAAGGATTCTTTTTGAAAATATCGTCTTCAGATTTAAGAAAACCAAGGCCATAATAAAGATCGAGATTTTACGGGAACTGTTCCGAAAGTTTCAATCGTTTTGGAGAACGATTCCAAAAAATGGTAAAACCAAACTTAACACAATTACACTTCAGGTCTTCAGGATTAGATAAGATATATTATTGAAATTTGGCCCTAAGTAACACCTCTATGTTTCAAACAACAGCTAAGAAAGTTTGCAGTTTCGGCCCAATCTTCTTCTCCAACCTAAAAAAAGGTTAGCAAGTTATTAAATCCAAACAATATTTTTGATTATCGAGTATCATTCAACAGATAGCAATGAGAACATTGAGATGCAGTATAACTTAAAGCTTTCTTAATTAATCCAGAATGATTCAAATACTTTACAAGGTTTGGAATCAGTCGTTACAAACTAAAAGGAAAAAAAAGTGTAATTTCCATGTCGAAACAAAAGTTATGTACAAACAAAAAAAAAATCTGAACAAGAATAAACGAAACAATGTAAAGACTCAAACCATAATACAAGAACAAACTGGTCATTGCAATCCCATCACCAAAAAAACCAATTCTACTATTTATGGTCATTGTTTTTCATTCTTGTTCGTCATCATCATCTATCCCATCAAAGAACGGGTCACGGAGCAGCTCAGCTGCAGACGGTCTAGCCATCGGGTTCCCAATGCACTTCATGATAAAGGTCTTAGCTTCTCCATCCCTGACCTTGTCAAGAGCCTCTGGTTTGATTCCAGAGCTCACCCTTTTCACTATCTTTGGGATGCTATCGCATTCGCTGTACGGAATCTCGAGCGAAACAAGCTCCAAAACGCACAGCCCGTACGCGTAAATATCAACCGTCTCAGTGTAGTTCTCGTTGTAAAACTCAGGAGCCATGAACTCCGGTGTCCCCAGCACCGAATGAGCTATATGGTTGTCTCCAACAATTGCAGCTAGACCCAAATCACCGATCTTGACCTATCAACACACAAAAAAAACTCAATCTTTAACCGAACGATACAGAGCAATGCAGAATCAACGAGGTTTGTGTATTACCTGGCCGATGTTGCCATTGACGAAAACGTTGCTGCAATTGAGGTCTCTGTGGATGATGCAAGGCTTGTGCGTGTGGAGGTAAACCAAGCCTCTGAGTATCTGCTTCGACCACTTCTTCAAAGCTCTCATGGACACGTGCCTGTGCTTCTTCCGGTACTCTCTGAGGTTCCCGGAGGTGCAAATCTCGGTGATGAAGTTCAAGATGCTGTTCTTCTCGTCTCTCCACACTTTATACAGCTTGATGATGTTGCCGTTGTTCAGGCTCTTGAGCAGCCTGACCTCCGAGAAGAGCCTCTCGATCATGGCCGGGTCGTCGACGAAACACCTCAGCTTGACTTGGTTCCACGCGACTTCTATGCCTTCTTCTTGGTCAAACGCTCTGTAGACCTTTTTGACCGAGCCTGAGCCCAGGAGCTCGTCGTAACGACCGTACCTACCAGTCGGATCCGACTCCACGAAAGGCTCCGAGTCATTCTCTGACGGATCGGAGCTCGCAAAAGTCATCTGTTTGGGAAAAACAGAGTGAAATTCTGATTAAACGGCTAATCAGAATTTTCACGGCGGCGAAAACGATTTCACGGATTTTAGTAAGTCGAATCAAACACGATTTAGCATGAAATTTCAGTGTAACGTAGAATCAGTTCGAAATCAAAACGTAGAATCAGCGAATCCAGAGCAAAAGTATCAAATCGAAGATTTCACGGCTCAGAGCAAATCGAATCAGCAAACATAAGAACCCTAACAAACGGAGAAAATCCCAAACCAAAAACGATACAGATAGAGGAGAAAAAAATCCTCAAAAATCGCTTGGAAAATGGGAAGAGAAGTTTTTCAGGAGCCGGAAAAAATTAAGGAGAAGAAAAACACATTGAGAGATTGAAGAACTATACCATCAAAATCGGGTGAACCGGAGAGGTTAATCGAAATTCGTTGTTGTTACTTCTCGGTGAGCTTTCGCTTTCGATATGAAAAGGAAGCAAACGTAGCGGAGCGTTGTGTAGGTTTAGAGTCTATAGAAGCTTTTGAAGACGAAAGAAGCGGAAGGGGATTGTGGGCGATTTTAATATATACTGGAGAATCTTTATTTTTTTAAATAAAATAAATATTTTGTTGAAGCGTATCTGGAATTGGACTCCTGAAAGTATTCAAATAGGCCGGTGATGCCGAATTTGTTAGGGAAAGTATAAAACAAAAATAAAATTTGATACCAAATTAAGAAAAATATAGCCTAATTATACTTAGATTAACATTTAAATTTTATTAAAGGACGGTAATAGAACAAATAAATTAGGCGTAGTTTAAATTGATTTGTGTTAAAACTTAAAACACGTAAATCTACAGTAGTAACCCTTTGTTACTTACAAACAAAAAAAAATTATAGAGTAATCAGGATTTATATATTTCGTAGACTCTGCAGAATTAAAGTCAAACTTTCGGCGCCTAAAGAGAGAAAACGATCGAAACCGTCGTTTTTTTATCAGGAGTGTTTTTGTTCGTGACGTGGACGATCAGGATGAATCTAGAATATTTTGGAGGTTTCTTAAATTGTCAAAACTCAGGGCGGCTCTAGAGTCTAGGGACGCATGTTTGACTTTCTTTTAAAGTTGTTTGGATTTACAAGAAAAAAGTAAGTTCTTTTACCCAGCAATTATCCTTCAATTTTGGTTGAGATATTTTTTCCTCATAATTTGATTATCGAAATGAATCTCTGTTACCTATGTGATATATAAAGATTAAGACGGTTGAAATTTGGATATGTTTACCTTTGGTAAAAAACAAAATTGGATATGTTTCAAAAGGTTTAAATATATGTGTATATATATATATATATATCAATCACTGAAAATTAAGCAAATGTTCTGGAAAAATATTCTAAAATCCTTTCACGGTTAATTAGATAAACATCAATCGGTTTAAGTTTTTTTCACAACGATTTTTAAAATTATATTATCATCATCGATAGATAAATTGCTCTCCAGAATTTTCTTTATTTTATCCCACAATTTTAATTTCATTTCTTATTCAATATTTTCTAACAAGCTGCATGTCTTATAAGAGTACAAAATAACTTTTTTATTACAAACAAAAGCTCAAAAATATATATATATATATTTCATCAATATGTGGACTTATAATGTTTTAACACAATAATTCTTACAAACAAAGATTTCGCGGGTTTTTCCAATGACTCTCACCAGATAACGTAGAACTATGCTCAAATCTGTTGTTCCTTTAGATCAATAACTGAATGAATCCACTCTTTAGTATCCGAGATTGCTCTCTTCAAAGTTTCCATGGCGTCAATATCAACATTTTTTTTTTTGGTTTTAATGTTAAGAGTCAATATCAACCTTATTAAACACTAGATCACCCCTGCTATATAAGATTAACATACTATATGAAATCTACACAAACCCCTTTTGTACTTTTTAGTTTTTATACATCATATTTGTTCATAACAAACTAATGTACAATTATTTCGAATGACTTTGCATGAAAAACTTGGTCTATGCCTGCCTTAGCCTAAGTGATGTCTGTGACTTATAGTTTATTAAAAGAGCAAAAAGCTGCATGTGAACTGTGAAGCTGCTGTTATATTCTACGGTTCACGTTAACTCTCGTACTAAAGGTTGTTCCCAACTTGTTATTCTGCTTCAATTTATTTCAAATGCATGTATATTTACTTGTTTGCATGTGAACAAACCATTTTTTCATATTTTTCTAACCAAATATTCTTTTAAAAATGTTTGATAATATTTAGAATACATATTTTTCCTTCCTTGATTAGTTCTCACCCTTGTATAATGTGAACTTATCCTTTGGCTAAACGTTATACACATATTTTACCAATTACATCAAGTCAACGTCATATAAGTACATCTGTTTAAAAATTTGTTTGATTAAAAAAAAAAAAAAAAAAGCAAAGTCATTTGCATCTTCAGTACGAACTCCACTTTTATATCCATTGGCTACCCCTAATTAAAAAAAAAAGATATGCTGGTAACCCCACTTATTAATTAGAGAGAAAGTATTGTCGAGTTTGGAATGAAAAAAGGACATTATGGAAATATTCTTTAACAAAGACATTGTTTATATCTATGATGAAAAACATAAAGTGATAACTTTTTAAATAAAATGGATCGAGTAGCATATACATATTTTTGTTAAAGTGTGAGCATATAAACGTGAATTCTTTTCATATATCGAAATATGCGTTAAAGATATTTGTATATTTTAAATGAACACCGATTCATATTCTTAGTACAAATGTACAATTGACAGTCACATCTTCCTACAAATAGTTTTGTATATGAAAATAATAAATTGACAGAAACAGATATACACTTCAACGTTTTTAGTGATGAAAAAAGTTGACAAAAACTAAAGGAAAGAATCATAAGCTGCCTGGCTCTTGTAGCTCGCTTGGTTTGCGAAGGCACTTTAACTGCAACGCAAGCCGTGTTCGACGCTCGAGCTAGGCACAAAGAGAGAGAGAGAGAACAATGAGAAGAGAAACAAAACAACAACAACAACAAACACATAACCAAATGAGGTATTCTAAAATACCTCCTTTTTTACCCTTGTTTCAAAAAAGAAATCATAAGCTAGAAACGAGACGTGAAGTGGAGTGCACGAATAATGATGTTTGTATAATTGTATATATGTTTTCTCATTTCCCCTTTCTTCAAATTCGTGACAACTGAAAAGTGGCAAGAAAGCTGATTCTGACAACGCCCAGGAAGATTGTAGATTTCATTGAATCGAATTCTAAGAAAACATTAATGTGCATAACAAAGTAAGCAATTGTTGTTGTTTTTAAAGAAGGGCAAGCAAATTGTTCAGTTAATTTATTAATCCACTCACAAGTACTCATTGCATGATATATTTGAGTGGCCCAAACAAATGGGCTTTTTCCATATACATACAGCCATATTCATTTCAATCTTTCTTACTTATTTTATATGGACTATATGTTACCAATTGATTAACTATGAATTTCAAGTAACATAGCAAAAAAATGTTCCATTTACATTTACAAAAAGTTTTGTTTTTATCGCTTTTCGCAAGTTACATTATACTCCCTGTGTCCCGTATTATAAGTAATTTGGGAAAATATATCTAAATACATCTAGATAATTGTAAATGTATTTTCCCAAACTACTTATAATATGGTACAAAGGAAGTAATCAACAACAATTCACATTGACACACATAGATGATGTACTACGGTATCAAACCATTGCTGTTCACTAGAAGAGAATAGACAAAATAAGTGTCATTGTTAGTTTAAAAATCCAAGTTATTATGGCATTTTAAGCAAAACTGACAAAGTTTCATAAAATATCTTACAGATATCTCTAGTCAGTTAATGATTATCGAATCTTTAAATCATTAGCTGCTCAATAATTCCCTGTCCAATACCATAAAAATCTCCGTCCATTTAAAAACAAAAAGAAAATTACATAGTGACAATTCCAACTTTTGTCGTTTGTGGAGGTCCTCAAATGAGATTATACTATGTAATAAAAAAAAAAAACAGGAAATTGAAGAAATGAAAACAGACAGAGAGCGGATTCAGATGTCAAGTCAACTTCTGTCTTCCCTTACTCTCAATCTTCACTAACACAGAGACCAAAGCTTCTCATTCCCTTCTTCGATTCAATTCAACTTTCTGATTCGCCTTTTCGCTAGTGTGAAAATGGACCCGGATGTCTCTAACCGGAAGGAGTTTCGGGTAGATTGTTCTGCGTCTGGACATCCCGAATCGAGACGCGATTCATCCGATTGCAGCGGAGGAGGAGGAGGAGCGAGGTATAAGCTGATGTCTCCGGCGAAACTCCCGATCTCGAGATCGACTTGCATCACTATTCCTCCTGGGTTAAGTCCGACTTCGTTTCTGGAGTCTCCTGTTCTTCTCTCCAACATCAAGGTAAGTAAAGACTCCGTCTTTTGATACTTTGTGAGACAATTGGAGTTTATTCTGATTGCATTTTAAGATCTTAGAGTCTGTGTATAGGTGAAATTCGATGCAATCACTGTTTATTTCTTTGGTGGGTTCGATTCAGATTCTTCACACTGTTCATTTTGCGGTTTCTGTGTGTCTTTTGCTTAATCTCGGAGCTACGATTCTTCCATTGTAGTGTTTCTAAGTGGAGAACAAATTCTAGTGTTTCTTAATTTGGTGAAGATGCTTTTTTTTCCCACAAAGGAAAAAACATTGACATTTCGGTTTCCATATCTGTTTCTTTTCATCATTTAGAGTTGCTTTAAAAGAGAAACACTAATGATTTTGTTGCTCACATTTTTAACAACTTTGGCTCTCACTCAGTCACTCGTGCTTTTACTAGAATAATCCATCGATGTGGAATGCTTATAGGATTGAATCATTTTAGGCTCTTTTATTTGAGCCTCTATGAGTTACAGCAAGGTGATTCAGCTTTTGATAATGCAACATTTTTTTCTTTAATTTTTCAGGCAGAACCTTCCCCTACTACTGGTTCATTGTTCAAACCTCAGGCAGTTCACGCTAATTCGAGCTCCTTTACAGCAAGAGCAATCCATCAAAATATATTGGATAACGATCAAAAGTCCACCGAGTTTGAGTTTAGACCTCCTCCTGCATCCAATATGGTAAAATTTCCCAAGAAATACTGATTTCTTGTTCATTGTGTGGTGTTCTTGTGTGTAGCTATCTAAAAAAAGCTTTATTGATTTCAAGTTCTATGCAGAGCATAGAAAGGAAGCGCCACTCCAATTCCAAAGCCAAGGCTACAGTTTCAAACACTCACCACCTTCGGCCACTGATGCTTCTGCTTCCTCAAGCCAACAAACTGTTCCTCATCAGACAACCTCCGAGAGATCTGATCCAGACGAGTCAATCCAGACATTCCAGAACGATTCCAGAGGGAGTGCACCGTCGTCGTCGATCTTGGCTGATGATGGCTACAACTGGAGGAAATACGGTCAGAAGCACGTCAAAGGAAGCGAGTTTCCACGGAGCTATTATAAATGCACACATCCTAACTGCGAAGTGAAGAAGCTGTTCGAAAGGTCTCACGACGGGAAGATCACCGAGATTATATACAAGGGGACGCACGAGCATCCTAAACCTCAACCTAGTCGCCGGAACTCAGGTGGTCTTGTTATGCCGGCGCAAGAAGAAAGAGTATCTTTAAACGGCCGAGATGGTAAATCTACACACATAAAACTAGAGACACGTTTCTACTATTTTCCTTCAACATGTTTAACTGACTTCATATGATCCTTATGCTCTACAGAGAAGGGATCTAGCTTATACAATTTGTCTCCTCCTCTCGAGCAAAACTGTAATCCAGATGTATCTCCTGTCTCTGCAAATGACGATGGTGGAGACGCTGTTGCAATGTCAAATAGGAACAACGATGACGTGGACGACAATGATCCGTTCTCAAAACGGAGGTACTACTTTCAAAACACAACCTTTATGTTACTTACTTTGAAAACGTGTTTTGGCACACTCACTGGATGCTTTTCTTGTAACTTTTATGCAGGAGGTTAGAGGGAGCCATGGAGATAACCTCACTTGTCAAGCCCATAAGAGAGCCTCGCGTCGTTGTTCAGACTCTGAGTGAAGTTGACATATTGGATGATGGGTATAGGTGGCGTAAATACGGACAGAAAGTTGTGAGAGGCAATCCTAATCCCAGGTTCGTTCACATATCTCTCAAAAGGACTGAGAGAAACTTATTACATGAAACTCAAATGCTTAACGATTTGAATTTTCATGTATCTTCTGATTTGGCTAATGCAGGAGCTATTACAAGTGCACAGCTACTGGATGCCCGGTGAGAAAACACGTGGAGAGAGCGTCACACGATCCAAAAGCTGTTATAACCACATACGAAGGCAAACACAATCACGACGTACCAACCGCAAGGTCTAACAACAACAGCAACAACAATAACCACCATCATGACATATCAGCAGCACCGAGATGCAGACCAGAAGAGACCGCCGACACAATCAGCCTCGACTTAGGTGTTGGAATCGCATCTGGCGGTCCTGACTATGACCATACATCAAACGAGCATCCGCATCAGCAGCAGCAACAACAACAACAACAACAACAGCAATTTGTACATCAAACTCAAACCAATGGAGCTGGTGGATTCAGGTTTGTTCATGGACCTCCCATGGGGGTATCATACTATGCTAATAGCTTAAACGCCGGTGTGAATCATCAATATAACGGCTCGAGAGAAACCGCGAACGAGGCTCAAACAGGTGACATTTCGACCTCTTACCCTTATCCGCATAACATAGGGAGAATACAATCTGGTCCCTAGAGTAGGATGGTCTCTGCAAGCCAACCAACAACATAAACAAAAACAAAGGCTCTTTGCTTCCCATTCTTTATCTTGATTCTTCTTAGGTTAGGAATGGAACATGATTGTCCTCTGTAATCTATGATCTATTATATAATATATGTATGTATATACCAGAGAGAGAGATCCTAGTCTTGATTTCCAACTATCTCCCAACATATTTGTTTGTTATTTTTGAAATACCAAAAAAAATGTTGTAAAGATACACAAATCTTCAAATGTATTAGAGAATCTCTTCCTTCTGTCCTTTTGCTTTCATCGTTATATACTGTTGCAGAGATCTATCATCAGCCTGTAAAGAATCTTCTCCATGACTGCCATGGAAGAAACCCACCTGCAAACAAGTTCCAAAACCCCAGCAAAGATAAATCAATCACCAAGTCTACTTGTGTCTCAATTGTTTCCTCAAAATGTAGAAGAAAGAGAGAATTTTAAGTTTACCACATCCGGGACAACGGAAGTATTTTTTGTCTCTAAAAACAAGTCCTGTTCCTCCACATTCTTCACATTTCTTCTGTGCAATCTGAAACCAAAACTCAATAACATTGGAGACTGACAGATATATATATACATACATGTGTGTGTATAAATATCTTAGTGACATTCACATACTATTCTTTTGCTGAATTCGACACCTGCAACTACGAAAGGTGTGACTCCAGCTGCAAAATCCATTGATTCGCATTAGAAAATTACACTTTTAACTAATTATTACATCACTAATAGTTAGCTAATTACCGATAGTTCCGACTATAATTTGCCACGTAATCTCCGATTTTCCCGTCTCCGCCACCGTGTCAGCGAGTTCGCCGAGAGCCGACGGCGTTCTCAGACGTCGATTACTTATCATCAAACCGTCGCTTCTTCTTCCCGGAGAAATGAAACTAGCCTTCGATTTCATCTGACGAGGACTTGATCCAACAGTCCACAGAGACGGAACTCGACATAGTGAAGAAGAAGCCTCCATTGTCGTCAGTCGTCGCCGTGACTCAGACTCAGAAATCAAATTCTCCTGGAGGTGGTTAATATTTCTGAAACGACCCGTTTAAAACGGGCCACGTCGACAGAATTCGAGTCGGGTTCGCGCCAACCACTATGCCTACCAACCACAAAGAAGAATGCGAAAGCCATCGTGTGGCTTTGCTGCGGCTTAAAAAATCTTTAAACACAATAAAAACGAAGCCGTTTTATAGTGAATTGTGTAAACGCCATTAATGTCGATTTGTAAAGTGTGAACTGTGAAGCTCAATAAAACTCTAACTTCGAATAAAAACAAACTTTTCGGATTTAGGGTTTTAGGGTATATTCGATATTATCTCTATTGGATAATCTCTCTGTTACATTATCCTCTCTCTGCGAGAAAATGGCGGGTTTCTCATTCTACTGCCTTATAAACCCACCAATTCTCTTTACTCTTCCGTCGGAATCACCTCTCTCTCTCTTGGGTTCCGGCAAGGATTCGCCGGCGACGATACGGCGAGCCAGAAGGATCGGTGAGCTCTTCGTATCGCACGCGCACTCTAACCCGAAGATAATCAAGCCGAAGAAGAAGTCCAAGTATGGGGAAACGTTATCTCCCTATGACAGTGATGAAGAGGAACAGCTGGACGATGAGAGTGATGAAGACGATGATGACTGGTTACTTAACGTCAGTTTTCTTTCCTTTTCTTCTAATTTTCTATCCACATTTTGTTGAAATTATGGGATTCGAGCTTATAAGATGTGTGATTTGAGCATTGGGATTGTGGAATTTAGCAGAATTGAGCTCACAAACCCAGAATTGAGCTCAATTATAATGACTCTTCATTAAATTCTGGGTTTTTGTGGTTGTTTAAGAATGTGTGATTAGTAAAAGAGAGTGAAATTTGGGTTTTTCTTCATGTCTTCTTTAGGATGACTTCGCAGAGGTCGCAGAGTATGAAAGGAAGAAACCTAAGTCACAGAGGCAAACCATTGTTAAGAAAGGTTTGTGTATTCGTGAAATCTGTCATCACAGAACTTCACAATATTGTTGAGATTGATTTGATCGATAGTTTCATATTGCTTTAGATTTGCTGAGATGTGAATTTGCTCTTGTGAAGTTGTGAAGAAGGAGACCGTGACAAGTTGGGAGAAACCTGAAGAAAGCGAGACTGAGGAAGACGAATTAGACATTGACATTACTCGAAATGCCTCAGAGAAGAAGAAGGAGAAGGACTCTTGGCGTTTAGATGGCCGAGGAAAGGTAAATAAGTTTCTCTGGTGGAGACAAATATAAGAGTTGAGAATTTCTCAACCTAACTATGTTTTTTTTTGTGTTTCATTAGATGAGCTCGAGGAAGTATGTGGAGAAACTATACCCTAAGCTCTCAGAAGAGATTGATATAGATCCGAAATGGGTACCTCTCCTGGACTACTTGAGCACGTTTGGTCTAAAAGAGTCCCACTTTGTTCAAATGTATGAGAGACACATGCCGTCGCTTCAGATCAACGTGTTATCAGCGCAAGAGAGGCTCGATTACTTACTTAGCGTCGGTGTCAAACACAGAGATATCAAGAGGATGCTTCTGAGACAACCGCAGATACTTCAATACACGGTTGAGAACAATCTCAAAGCTCACATTTCCTTTCTGATGGGACTTGGGATCCCCAATTCCAAAATAGGACAGATCGTTGCTGTAACTCCGTCTCTGTTCTCTTACAGTGTCGAGAACTCGTTGAGACCAACGATAAGGTATTTGATCGAAGAGGTTGGGATAAACGAAAACGATGTGGGGAAAGTCGTGCAGCTGAGTCCTCAAATTCTGATTCAGAGGCTGGACATAACGTGGAACACTCGTTACATGTTCCTCTCCAAGGAGTTAGGAGCGCCTAGAGACAGTGTAGTGAAGATGGTGAAGAAACATCCGCAGCTTCTTCACTACAGTATCGATGACGGATTCTTGCCTCGGATCAATTTCCTTAGGAGCATTGGGATGTGCAATTCTGATATCTTGAAAGTCTTGACTAGCCTTACACAGGTTAGTAGACTTCTTGATTCATTTTCAAAACGTAAAACTTCTTCGAGTTAAGAAGATTTTCTCTCATGTTACTTGTTGAATTTGGTGTTGATAGGTTTTGTCTCTGTCACTAGAAGACAATCTGAAGCCTAAGTACATGTATTTGGTCAATGAGCTGAAGAATGAAGTGCACATTTTGACTAAATATCCAATGTACTTGAGCTTATCCTTGGATCAGAGGATACGTCCGAGGCACCGGTTCTTGGTTGAGTTGAAGAAAGTGCGGAAAGGTCCGTTCCCTCTTAGCTCTTTGGTGCCAAACGATGAAAGCTTTTGTCAGCAATGGGCTGGAACTAGTGTAGATAAGTATCTCGCCTTTCGTCAGAGACTTTTACTCAAGGAGTTTGCAAACAAGTATGAGAAGAGAGGATGATGATGAATTCATGAAGAAAATCTCTTGTTCTGATTACAGTCAACAGTTTGGTATCTTGTTGCTTCAAAGACCGGTAAAAGAGGTTCATAAGCAGAACTGTGAGTGACCGACTATTGACTTCTGGTGAGACGAGATACTCAGTTTCTGCAAAATGGAATCATTTTTACAGGGAAAGTAAATCCAGAGAAACTGGCGTGGCAACAGACATAAGTCATTTTTGTTTACCAGATGAGAGTCTCCGTAATCGTTTCTTGGTTTTGTCTACACTCCAATGTTTTGTGGTAAAGTTTTTCTCTTTTTTGTTGTTGTTGTTGTTGTTCTCTTCTCTTTAAGTGAATCATGGAGAAGAGAAATACAATATGTGTAGTGTTTTTTGGCCTCATATATAGTTCATACTAAGAACATTTTGTAAAGCGTTGTTTGTTTATGTCTTTTGATCCTTCAGCGAACAGAAGTTTAAGGAAAGAGTTCAAGTGATGTAGATTGAGTTTCATTGTGTTATCTTAGTTCTTGGCTAAATTCACTACTTTCATTAAGAGACAATAATACATCTCAATGGCCAAGTATATTGACTTCGTCAGTCGTCACTATGGGATAATGGACGTTAAACGACGTCGTTCTTTTGAAGTTGTTTAATTAGCTGGCTGCTCTCTCGGACGTGTTCAGATTTACCGTAAAAACCATCTTTGCATTTGCATGAACACGTGAGTCCTATGAGTTAACGTAACTCTAATAATTTAAATTGATTAACATTAGTGCCAAACTCCCGCTCCAAAATCATGTTTGCAATGTCATTTCTTTAGTCACATCTCTAATTAATTATCTTCTAATCTGCCTTCATCTTTTCATTTTTTCGGTCGGTTATTAGTATTACTGTTCTGTTCACTGAAGAAAAAGATGATGGTGATGATTCATGATTGTTATTGATCTCATAAGATAAAGTTCGTTCTTTATTAGTTACTATAAAAACCTTTAACAACTCTATCTTACTATTTATAGCTTTCGTTTCGTACTATCATATTCATGCTCCACAAGTACTTAATCTGTCCCAAAAATTCCTTTAGAATCTAAAACTCTTTTCAAATAAAAATATTTGTTTGTTAAAAACTATGACAATAATCAATGTAAAATATCTTTTCTTTCGATTTTTTTTTATATGTATTTAAAATCGATATAAAAGTATTCAAACCAAAATCAACCTATACCCTGGACTATACATCTCTAACCTATTCCAATGGCGTGTTATACTCATTCCAAATCACACCCAATTTTATACGATTTATTGTTTTCCTACATTTAGAATACTTTTATTAACTGTGATATGTCCACACTCAACTACAAATAAGAGACTTGGGATCTCAATTTGTATTGTAAATAAAAATTTACAAAATAATAATCATTATCGTAATCAAAACATATTGAGGTTTTTAAAACTTATTAACAGAACTATTTAATAAGTTTGAAGACATTTATTAACAGAACTATTTATTAACTTAAACATTTATATTCTGATGAAGACATTTCCTACCAATGTGTAGGAAGAGATCTAGATTTTAGAATAAGTCGTGTTTAATAACTGATTTTTTGATAAACATATGTAATTCAAAGGAGATTTGGGTGTTCGAACATTTTTATTCGCTTTTTCCTTATTTCACTCACTTAAAAGATCTATATTGATTCTTACAAGTGTTGCAAATATTAAAAAAAAAAAATTGTTAGAAGATAATTACGAATTTAAAATATAGTATGAATATGATTTGAGTTGAAAACCGCCAAAAAATAATTTAATTTGAATATATACTTTCATCAGGAGTAGGAATATATACTTTCATCAGGAGTTTTTTTTGTTTTTTTCATTCTCATTAGGAGTAGGAATACAAGAAGAGGCTCCTCGTATTTATTAAACCCATCTTTCTCACACGACCTTTCACCTCCAAAGACTCTCCACAAATAAATAATCAACCTTCAAAGGTAAAATAAAAACGTACACTTTGCCTTTAACTCACTCCCACGAAAGAGGGAGAAGAAACCTTAAAACGTTTTCTCCAAAAAAAACCACACTAACTTTTCCTTCTGATTTTCAACTTTTTGTTCTCAGAGACATTCTCCATGAAAGTCGAAGCCTTTACTCCCGCGGTTTTTCTGCTCTGTTTTTCTGTTCTTATGGGTTTAGGGACTTCGAGGTGGTTGCAGATTCATGATGAAGGTAGTGAGTTGAAGAATTACATAAGTTGGGAAGACTTGAGACTTGTTGAAGACGTTGGAACAGAGAGGAGTTTTAGCACTGATTGGGTGAACCAGAAAAGTAATTTTGGGGCTTCAAACGCAAACGCAAACTCGAAGAGAGTGATTGTGGTTGATAAGAGAGGAAGAGGAGACTCTGTTACAGTTCAAGGAGCTGTTGATATGGTTCCTGATTCCAATTCTCACAGAGTTAAAATCTTCATTCTTCCTGGTTTTTACAGGTAACTTACAAAGATTCTGATTTAAGACAGAAATTCTTCCTGATCAAATTGTTTTTTTTCTCCTGATTGTCTTTTTTTTTCGTTTTTTCACGGAAACAAAATTAGAAACGTTTTGTTATATTTTGTTTTGTTTTTTTAACTAAAGCAGTTGAAGCTAAATTCTTGGGTTAGTGGGATAATCTACACATGAGCTACGTGGGTAGTTTTTGTTAATACAAACTCTCTTTCTCTCTCTCCTCTGTCTACATGTTTTCTAATTTTTTTTTTAATCAAATTATAACGGAAACAAAATTAGAAACGTTTTGTTATATTTTGTTTTGTTTTTTTAACTAAAGCAGTTGAAGCTAAATTCTTGGGTTAGTGGGATAATCTACACATGAGCTACGTGGGTAGTTTTTGTTAATACAAACTCTCTTTCTCTCTCTCCTCTGTCTACATGTTTTCTAATTTTTTTTTTAATCAAATTATAATCTGTTTTTATTTTATTTGGCAGAATCTTTGTCTGTTATACTCTGTTTTCTTTCTCTGTTTTGAGTTATTTTACACACACTGTGTTTATAACGTTGCAGGGAGAAGGTGTATGTACCGAGGACAAAGCCGTACATATCGTTCATAGGTAACGAGAGTTATGCGGAACAGACAGTGATTAGTTGGAACGATAAAGCATCAGACAGGGATACAACTGGCAAAGAAGAACTCGGCACTTTTAGAACCGCCACTGTCTCAATTGACTCTGATTTCTTCTGCGCCACTGCCATCACTTTCGAGGTCCTAAAACCATCTCTTCCTCTTCTTCCTTTATCCTTTTTTGTTGTTTCTACTATATGCTTGTTTTGAAACTTGTTTTCTTCTGATTTTTGGGAATGAGCCAGAACACGGTGATGGCAGAGCCGGGAGAGGAAGGGAAGCAAGCTGCGGCGCTGAGGGTCACAGGGGACAAGGCAATGTTCTACAGAGTTAGGGTTTTGGGATCACAAGACACTCTTAACGATGCAACTGGATCTCACTACTTTTACCAATGCCATATTCAAGGAAACGTTGATTTCATCTTTGGCAACGCAAAGTCACTTTACCAGGTAAAAGACCATTCACTTGCTCTTCTTAAAATCCTTCGTAAACTGTATCTGAGTGTTTTTCTTCTTCTTGTGATTGGTAAAAACAACAGGACTGTGATATCAGGTCAACAGCAAAGAGATATGGAGCGATCGCAGCACACCATAGATCTATAGAGAATGAAGATACTGGCTTCTCCTTTGTCAACTGTGACATCGGCGGTACAGGGAAGGTTTACTTGGGAAGAGCTTGGGGAAACTATTCGAGAACTGTTTATTCAAACTGTTTCATTGCTGACATCATCGCTCCTGTCGGCTGGAATGACTGGGAAGACCCTGCCAGGCAAAGGTAAAAACAAAACTCACAACTCATCTCTCAAACTAAAAGCTGTTCTGTCTGAAACCAACAATAAAGTTAATTTCTTTTTCTTTTGTTTTCTTTTGCAGTAAGGTGTTGTTTGGAGAGTATAATTGCAGGGGAAGAGGAGCAGAGAGAGGAGGTCGAGTACCATGGTCAAAGAGTCTTACCCAAGATGAAGTCAAACCTTTTCTTGGGAGAGAGTTCATATATGGAGATCAGTGGCTGAGACTCTAAAACTCTTTGTTAGCTAACAGGAGCTGATGACCTAATTATACTTTATACACTTGTAATTAGTACTAAATCCGAGCAGAGTGAGAAATAGCATCTGCGTGTTATAACTGATACAAAAGTTTTGGTTTTTAAATATAAATTTTCTTACAAGCTTGAACCAAAGTGGTTTACATGGAGTTTTGAGATAATAATAGGAGAAGTACAAATTGGATTCTTTTTTATCGCTTAAAGCTAGGATACAAAGTCCTACTAAATAATCCTATTCTTAGATCGGTTAACAAACAAACGCAACCACCAAAATCAAAACCTCTTCAATTTTCTATACAACAACCTTTACCTACTCCTCTCTCCTCAGCACCAACCAAGTCAAACCCAGAATCACTTTTTTTTTCTTGTCTGCAAACTGTGTCAATATATACACACACATAAAGAAACATCAAAGTTTCCAAAGATGACGTACCAGAATTTACCATCATTATAGATGACTTCAAGAAAGCATCTTTACGTTGTCACAAGCGTGGTAGTAGTTTTTGATAGGGTGAAGACTGATTCTGTTTTGCGGGCCTTCTCATCATTAACGGTAACATCATCTTCTCCTTCTTTGTGGTCCTGCACGGCATTTTCATGGTTGACATAGGTGTTGCTTTGGTTACTTCCAGCTTCTTTATCCTCTTCTTTTGAAACTCTGCTTTCATCATCCTTCTTAACAACTTCGTCATCTTTATTCTCTTTGTCCACTTCTCCTAAAAGGGAACTCTCCGCTTTATCGCCTTCAGGTTTATCCGCCTCGACAATATCTGGCATTGGAATGTGCACTGCCTTGGCATCTTTTGCAAGAGTTGAAGACGTGGAGAGCTTGGCTTCCGGGCTAATATCAGAAGATACAAGAGAGAGTATCTCCGGTTTAGGTTCGATATCAACCCAGCTGTCTCCCACCCAGTCTCTGGAAATCCGAATATCCTTTCTGTGCACTGTTAAGCATAAGTTCTCCCCTAACATCATGACAACAAAACACATGTCAGTCCTAAGTGGAGGCAACAAGAGTGGAAGATGAATATAGGGAAACACTAAATCATACCAGGGATATATATTTGCAAGTCCATAGCGTCCGGTTTATCAGTGGCAATCACAACACCTTCCCACCAACCATCATTCCACCATGCGTCAACAGCTTCACCGATGGTAGGATCATAGTCTGCTGGTCTGGCATCAGGAGGAGCAGGCCGGATTGTGGGGCGGTTAGACGATCTCATACCAAGCTTATCAGGCATAGCAGATTTAAAAGCTGGCACCCATTCCTACTCAAAACAATGAGAAGAAAGACAGCAATTAGGTGACAAACATAAGATTGTAATAGAAGCAATTTCCAGAAACAAAAACAATCTGGAAGCAAAAATCTACCTCGACGTTTCCAAATCCATCCTCGTCCTCTATGTCATCATACTGGAGTTTTACCTGTTTCCTTGATACTTCCAGGACAGTGCATCTAAACCAGCAGCCTCTAATACCACTATCTTGACACAGAAACTCTATTTTTGCATCAGCCTTAATCACTCCATTGTCATAAGTATGTTTCTGAACATCCGTTGAGGAAGGAAATCTTTTGCCCGAGGCATCAAGTTTGAGTCTCTTACATGAAGATTCATAAATTGTCCACAAATGTTCAGACGTTATTCCTGAATGTTTTCTCTTGCTCCTCTCAGCACCAACCACTACATTCTCACCCTCACTCAATTCGTCATCTTCCTCTTTATTGATCGCACAGTCTACAGGACCAGCCTCCATAGAACTTAAGCAAGACATAATCGGTTGGTCCAAATATCCACGCAGTTTACTCAAGTTAAAAGGTTTAACTTTGTTGTTCCTGAGTTGCCGATAGCACATGTGTACCTTTGCCAGTAAAGAATTAGGAAAGGAAGCAACACACTCCTCGTAATGCTCACGGGTCAAGACAGTGGCAGGACCATCAACGCATTCAGCACTGATGACCTGTGAGTGAGGGGTGATGAAAACCTCTTTTGGGTTTGGGTTTTTGAGAGCAACTGCACCCTTCACTTCTTTTGTGTAGTGAAACCACCTCACTTTGACCTTTTTCAGGCCACGCTTGTCCTCATACATATCTTCCAGATATGCAACGTACCGGTCCTCCCCTTTGCTCATGACAAAGACAAAAGATTGAACCTAGAAATCCAAAATAAGAAATACACCTTCAAGTAAGTATAGAGTTCCATCTATGATCGAAACCATGATGCAAAATGAACATGTACTGAGCTATGCATGTATGAACACCTCCAGGAAATGGATATACTAAAAAGTTTTCAACTTACCTCTATTGTTGTCCCATTCCTACAAAAGGATGGGTAATGCTTGAGCTGTTTCCCACACATCCAGGAAGTTCCTGACCACATAATCTCCCAACTGTGAACCCTCAAGTTTATGGGAAGCCGGACCTGTGAGAGAGAGATTATTCCATCAGTACAGGAGACTAGGAGAGTAAAAATGCAGTGGACTACTGTATAAAGCAAAACTCAGCTAAACATCACCTCTTCAGTTGCTTGAGCTCGCTGAACAGCAAATCCATTGTTTGGAAATTCAGGAGATCCATTAGATTCCCCTGATTCACATTTTGGTGACTCTGTAGTTGACAATAAACAAGTTTGTTACAAAATTAGAAGAGACAAATTGTCACAAAAGGTACAAGATAAAGATAAATGCGTACTCGACCAGTTTCCTTGAGTACTTTGTTTAGACAGCATCGAAGTGAGCCAATCAACAACCTCTCTTCTCGACCTCCATTTAAAGCCAGCATGGATCGAATTCTCGGATCCATAAATACGCACAAACTCCTCAGAGACAACATAGAACATGTGCCTGACACTTCTCTCAGTTCCAACCACAGCTAGGATGGATTCACCCGCAGAATCCTTGAGGAAGTAATTAACAACACGGTTCCCTCGCTCCTGTGACACAAAATGCTCTTTCCACTCCACAAAATGATGATCACTCTCACCCATCTTCTCCACTATGTAAATGGTCCGGGAAGCTTCAAAACGCTCCCAGCCCTTCTTCACATCAGATAAAGAACTAACTACAGAAAGTTAACAGGCGTCGATGCCAATCCAAAGCCATAGTCTTCTCTCAAATCAAGTTCTAAAGTATATACCAGTGACCGTGGAAACCCCTAAAAAACTATATCCTAATGACCCAACAATACCCCTAAATCTCCTGTGCCGTGGAAACCCTAAAGGAAACGATCTAATGCATCACTCTGATCAACATACTTTCTTCAGAAACAGCTAAATCGTCAAAGTCTCTGTAGATTTTCCACAAGCGATTCTCCAGCTTGTGGAAAATCAAATAATCCGGACGAAGAAGAAGTGAGGATTGGAGAAAGCGGATAAGAACCCAGTGAGAGGAAAATTCCGAAGATCTGTCGAGATATCAGAGCCGAGGCCGTGGAAACATTGATCCAAGCTCGAGAGCGCCGCAAAACACCAAGATGCGACTTTGACTGCGGTAATCAGCTGAAGCATGACGAAGACGAAATGGGCATCTCAGAAATTCATACAGGAAAAAGGAAGACGATTTGTACCGATCCTAAGGTTTTTAGAATCCGTCACGGAACCAATGATTTAAGAAAGTGAAATCAGAAAGCTCAGAACAGCGGCGAAGACAGAAAAGCGACGACCGATTTCGAAGACTGGAAGAAGCGAAATCCGGAAGAAGGAGATGAAGAGGAAGAAAATGAGCTCTGATGAAGAAAATACGGTATTCCCATGGATGATCTCTCTCTCTCTTTCTCTCTCTCAGAGTTGCAGGGGGTTTGGCAAAAGCAGCTGCTTGGTGAAGGAGACAAAATGTGCATTAACTACGGAATAACGAAAATATCAGGAAATTATTGGGCCTTTATCGTTTGATAGGCCTTTAATGGGCCAGTCGGGTTAATAAACGAGAGAAAGTCAAAGGGGGAAGTCAACAGATCTCTTTTTTTGTTTGGTCTCTCTCTCTACCTCTCGTCTCTTTGGCATCTTTTACCGAGAAAACCAGAAGTTTATAAACGTTCAGAATCATTACTTTTTCTTCTCTCGAGAATATTGATTTTTTAATCGAAGGAAACTGGATATTTACAAGTGAATTAGCACACAGAAGCGAAGATTTACTCTTTCTTCTTCTTCGTCAACTTTTCCCAATAGAGAGATATAGAGAGATAACCTTGTAGTAATGGCGGGAATAGCCATAGTTTTAGATCTGCTGAAGAAATCTCAATCCAAACACAGTCTCCACTCATCGTCCCTGTCTTCCGCCTCCGTCGTCGCTTCTACCGCCGCTGTTTCTGCTGCTGCCGGTGCTCCTTTCGCTTCTAGGTTTCTCTTTGGGTATGTATCGTCTCTGTTTCAATTGGAGCTCGAATCGGATTTGTTTGACTTTCACAGTATTTGACTGGATCGCGATGGATATGATTATTGGGATTGATCACTAAAAATCGCATCTAGTTTTAAGTGGTTTTGTTCGTGAATTAGGTTTAGAAGCCTAATTCACTTTGTTCCATCACTCAATCAAAAGCTACATAGTGAAGATCACCGCATTTTGCAATCGAATTTGAAGAATAGGTTATTGTGAGTAGAACTATTATTAAGTTGATATAGATTTTGATCTCAGATCGTTTAGGGTTCTCTGTTCTGTTTTGTAATCTATATAGATCCCTTGATAGGTTTCATTTGTGATCTCAATTTGCATCGTCTCAGTTTCAATCGTATCAATGAATCAAAATTGTTCATGTCCACAGAGCTTTTGAGCCTCGAGTTGCATATTGTGATGCGGCAGCTGCAATCGACGATGACTACCTTGCCTCCATACGAAAACTGTCCGCGGGCGTATTGCAGCGACAACCACCGCTTACATACATTTCTTCTAGCTTTAAGCAATACGACATCCAGCCAAAGCCGCTTTTCTCGGCCTTTGAGTTCAGGGCACTCGCAATGACTACAGTGAGATCCCTCCTCATGTTCTATTTGCCTCTCTTGGAGCCTAAAACGGCCTCAGAGGACGATGAGGATTTCCTAAACAATGCCGCGGAAGCTCCCCGTGCCGACTTGATCGTTCCTCTTAAAAAGTCCGCAAAGCAAATTGCCCGTGAGGTTAGTATTTACACATCTCTCTCTCTCTCGTGTTGTATTAAGCATCTGTAGAATTTTTGCAACTGCTAATTTGGGGTATATGATTTGGTCCAGACCACAGTTGTGACCACTCGGAGAGTCCTGGAAAGGCTGGCTGTGAGTTATGTCTCACAGCGTATGGCATGGAAACTTCTAAAGGGTAAAACATCATCTTCATCTTCTAACAACAAACTTTGTCATTATAATAAGTCATGGCACTGAGCGAACAGAGGAATTTATGTATATGTGCAGATGTGCCTAAATCGGCTTTACGTAAGGCTGAGAGAGGTTGGCCTACACATTTATACATCTTTAAAGTCAGCCAGACAACTCTTAGAGGTATGATAACAATTATACGGTTATTATAGTCATCAAAATCTCGCATAACTCTGCTGAAACCTTATATATATATATATATATGTTCTGTTTTTGGTTGTGTTTTTTATGCAGGACATTTCCTCGGAATTGCTGCGTCATGGACAGTACAAGTAGGTATAGAAATATACAGATGCGTATCATCCCGGTACGTTAAACATCCCGAGGACGAAGAAGAGGAAGCGATCGAGATAGCAGAGCAAGCGAAAGAGCTCGGAAGCAAAGTTGTGGGAATCACAGTACGATGTGGTTCTTCCTTACTGTTTGCTGCCATCGGAGCAGGCATCTGCTCGTGCCTTATCCGTCCCTCCACGGGCCAATGGATCGGTAAGCTCACGAGTTATTAGAACCGCACAGATACTTCAATAGAAATTTCACTCTCTTCTTTTTGAATAGTGATTGATTTGTTGATGCATATGGTGTTCTCTTAAAAATGCAGGCTGCGCGCTGGGGGAGTTGGCTGGTCCGATGGTTGTTTCGTTTTGCCTGCAGAAGACTCTTCAAGCTGATGTTTAACTGAATTCTTAGCTTGTTTTTTTTTTTTTTTTTTTTTTTTTTAAAAAAAGTGATTCACAAAATGTATTTACTTTTGACATCACCTTCACCACAATTTATTTAATTTCAGTGGATTTAATTTTGGATTTATTGTTATTTATACAATTTTGAACAAAAACAATTACTAGTTGTACTATTGACGTATGGTTCAGCAATCAGCATAATCAAAATTTAAATTGGATTTGAGATACAGTATTTGAGAATGGAAACTAGCCGGAAGGAAAAAAACAACAACTCGTTTGATAAGAGTTTTTACGTCTTCAACAAGAAGATTTCATATGGTTTCCTTTCAGTATCCAGATTGGACAGGTCATGGCGGTAGCACATGTTGCAAGAAAATGTTTGGGTCGGAAGAGAAGGAAGCGACCAGTTATGAGAAAAGTACTGTTGGAGTTGGAGATGATCCGTTCCTCTCCGAAAGATATGGAGCCGCCGCATGCGTATGTAAGTGAAGACGAGGAAGATGAAGGAGATTTCGAAGTAGTTTACATAGGGGCTAGGGCTCGAGTCGAGGAACAACGCAGCTTTTACTGCTCCTTCTCCTCGTGCTTATTTGTGTGAAATTTTAAAACTTTGATTAGTCAATTATTAAATGTTTGATGGCTTGCAAGTTGCAATCTATTATAGCATCTCTCTATTGGCAAGCGTTTTTTACTAAACAATTTAAGAAAAGTGGTAGGATGGAGATATGTACATTATATGAAAAAAATATAATTTTAGGGATTGGTGTTCTCTTTTTTGATATCATGTGTGTTCTACTAGATTTTATAATAAGATTATATAAGAACATTATATAATAACAATAATATACAAATATTTTACAAAACAAGTAAAATCAAAAAAAGTTTGAAACAACAACAATGTTCATATATTCATTTGAAAAGGAAAACATACATTGCAATCAAAAATGTTTTATTTTTCTTTCATTTTTTACTTTAGAAAATGAAATGCATATAAAAACAACATGTTTGATAAGAGTTTTAATAAACAATTTAAGAGATGTAGAAGTGTATGTAGTTGTACATTTTACGAAATTTTTTTGTAGGTATTGTTGTTTGTTTGATATCACGTGTATTCTACCACAATTTTCAATAAACTATAAAAACATAATATATAACATTTATACAAAAATATTTTACAAAAACAGTAACATTGGAAACAGTTTGGACAACAACAATTTCTTCATATATTAATTTGAAAGAAAAAACTTTTGTTGCAATCAAAACAATTCCAAATTATTTTCAAAACACATTAAGAAAAGAGTAGGATAGAAGAGAGTTAATTATAAATAAAAAAAAGTTACATTGTTCTAAGATGACGCCTCCCGAAAGACATCATCCAAGAAGAGATAGAAGAGAGATGATATAAGCAATATTGAGAGAGAATTACACCTTATATTGTCATATCAACAAACAGGGATATCAAAATTGCCAATATTTTGGTGAAAAGTTTCATCCCTGGCATTAGAGTTGATATTTGTAAAAGCAACCATGGGGTATCTTGATCCAATCGGAAACACACAAAACAACATAAGAGCCGCCATATGGCATATCAGCTAAAATATATGCATCCAATGGATGATAGACTCTCTACAACGAACAACAATAAGTATGTATTAGGAGCGAGGGAGAAACAAAACAGCATTAAGTCAAAAGTATCAAGTGAATTTGGAAGATACACGTAGCAAAATCACTCATGAAACCACCATAGCTTGGGAGAAGTCAAACTCAATTTTTACAGAGCTTGTACGCAAGAGCTCAATGATGCGTACGAAACAACATGTTTGAAACGAGTTTTAATAAACAATTCAACGAAGGTGCCAAGGTATAGAGTTGTAAATTTTATGGAAAACCAATTTTATGGATGATTTTTCCTTGTTTGATACCATGTGTCGTGTGTGTTTTACAATAATTTTCAATATGACTTTATAAGAACTTATGATCATAGCATCAATATACAAAACGAGTAACATTACTATTGTTGACTAGTACTATTATTTGTTGATTCGTCAATCATATCTTTACGGATAACTAGATTACTGGATACTCCATATGTCTAGAAACTTTTTCTCGTTTTCATTCAAACCTTAAAAACTTTGATCAATGAACTCAATGATTCACAAAATGTTTCTGCTTTTGAGAACATCACAATTTCATTGGATTTAATATCAGATATGGTATTTAATTTTTAATTTTCTAAGTATTAATTTTGTGATTATGTTATTATCTTATGCAAACGTGAAAGAACTCCTAGCTAGGAAGAAAAAATATATTGGGTATATTAAATAGATATATCTAAAAAACATATTTTAAAATATTTGGAATACTATAGTAGTTGAATATATATAGTGCAGCTAAAAATCTTATAAATTCATTTCCAAAACCAAAATATCGTGAATTTTACTAAATTTAAGTACACAAAATATTTGATCGATAACCCATGATCACTAACTAGTGATCGAATAAGTAATCGTGACAAAAACAAAAATAAATCATAATAAACTCACATATATCGTTATTTTTACGTGTCATTTTATATAGAGTAAGTATTTATGTAACTGCAAATTCAATTTACACCTTAAAGTTTTTAAACAACCATGATCATTGCTCAAACGAGAGATATTTTGGATTGTAATAATGTAGATCGACTGTAAAGAGAGACACATCATCACCCACCACCACAGAATCACGAAACTCATATGAATGGCTCCAAACAATTCGATTGTCTTAGTTAAAAAACTGGCCATCCTCTTTAATTTAGTTTTAATTACTTCCACCTACTTCCTTCTCCTTGCATGCACACCAAGTCACCAAGGCAGCCACCCCCAAAATATTCCAACCATTTATTTTTGGTCCCACGCTAAAAAACAGTGCATGAACCATCGCTGGTCGATGCTAGCGTAGCCACCTGTTTTTCTCCCATCTTGTGACGATATTTTGTAGAAAAACATAATTTAAGCATGTATACATCAAATACTCGTTATAATCATAATTAAAATAACATAATTTTAGCATTTATACATCAATTTTTGTAAATTACGTACTAATTTTGACGATAAGAACAAAAATCAATGACAAATTGATGACACTCATGATAAATTGATAACTATGTGGAAAATTATATTTTAATTTATCTTTCGGGCCCGAAATTAAATACGAGTCTTTGATCATCTTCATCATAACCAGACTCCAAGCTCGCCTTTGAGCCTGAGCTTGTCTTAGGATTCCTCCTCCTTCTTCTTGTCCTCCTCTACTCTTTGTCTCCATTCTAAAGCTTCTTTTTCCTTCTTTGTAAATCTTATAATCAACTAGAAATGGAAGCAAAATGGCTATTAATTACCTTGGCTTTTACTCAATTGTTCGGTTACTCAATCCAACTGGATCAAACCAGCAACTGCAAAAGCACCCGCAACAAAATAAAGATGATGAAGAAAGAGGAATTCCCAAGTGGGTTTCAAGTTCCTCTTCACTATCCCAAATTCTCCAAGTCTGATTATGAAGCCATGGATGGTCTCAAGCTCGACTTGCTCCTCAAACAATATGGATTCTCCTTCGAAGGATCTCTTGATGAGAAGAGGGTATTTGCTATTGAATCATTTCTCTGGCCCGATCAGCTCTAGGGTTTATAATATGTATGTTGTTGTTTGAATATCCCAAGATCATAATCTCTCTTCACCAATATCCTATTAGTGAGCCTAAGATAATGAGATGTTTTAGAGGTATGTCAAATATCAGTGTTTTTCTTAGTACAATCAGTATATCAAGTTAAAAAAAAAAAAAAAATCAGTATATCAAGTTTGTCTGTTATGTGTATGTGTATGTGTATGGAGACGTTTTGAGGCATGCAATTTACACATGTGTCACCAATCCATGAGACCATGAGTGCATAAATAACATCTTTCTTGTATAGCATCAGATTAAAACGTAATCTATTCACTTATAATACTCTAATTGTATATTTTTTAAACCGGTCGAATAGTTCTAAATTCATGATATACAATTAGAGTATTAGAAGTCAAATATCACATTTTAGTATAATGTTGTACCACAACTTGAGATCACACAGTTACAAGCCAAGAAGTCATCGGTACATGCCGTCATGCGTAATCTAGCATTGTAGTATAAATTGTATAATACTCATTCCATTATCTCGATCGTAATCAATGATATAACTGGGTAGTTATTTAGTTATGGTGCGCCACAACTTATCCAACTCAATTCCGTCTATGTCGAAATGTATAACTTCATATCGAAAGGGACTTCAATTTTTGAATATGTACATCTTCCAAGGTTAAGGTTAGTGTTTAGTTAGTGGCTAATCATTTTTATGACAGTTGGAAAATACTAATCACCAGCCAGCCAGGCCAAAAATATAAAATAAACGATATGAAAAGAAAAAAATGTTATTAAGGAGACTGCTTTTGAAGAAAAGGTATAATAAGAAGAGGATTATTCAAATTAATAAAATAAAAAAACTACAAGTATGCACCGAAGAGACTTGGCCAACAATGAGAACATGTTATTATGAAGATGTTTGCTTCGGCAACATTTGGAACATGAAGGAGGTATTTCACAAACCTTTTTACTATTTTTCTTTTTGTAAAAGTGGCATTACAAAAAAAAGAAACAAGCTTTTTCGGAAAACAGGATGTTTTCCAAAGGACCCTTATTCCCTTAAAAAAGGAGATTGTGTAGAGATCTCTATGGCAACACTTGGATTGTAGATTCATCTGCATTTTACAATCTACGCACCAATGATTTTGGGAAATTTTCTTGCTCTGCAATGAGAAGAAAGAACCAATTCTGAGTCCCAGTTTCTGTTCTCCGTCTCACAAGAAATAATCAGGTGCAGGTTTCTTGGTCGGAGCTGCTCTAGATTCCTGCATCCATTATAGTCATACTATGTCAGACAAATCAAGCAAGAATTTGGTCAGGAAGTTGCATAGGTCAGGTTCTTACTTGTTTGGCAGCATCAAAGACTCGAAACTCCTTGTTTAGATTCTCATCGAGCTCTAGAATTGCGGCTACATTACCACATCTACATCACATTCGAACAGAAAGTAACATGAACACTCAAGCCAAAGGAAACTAAAATCACATTCATATGGCTCTGACTTTTTAGTTACCTATAGCAGTAATTTGGAGCAGACCAAACTGTGACTATTGACTATTGAACATCCATTTGTAACCCTCCATAACTAGCTGATGAGCTCGGCAGATATAATCAATGTTGTTTGAGTGGTTAAAAGACGTCACAACACTGCCACCGAAAAGGAATCCGGCACCGCGAGGACTCAATCCCCATCCATCTACAATATCTTCTGGATCAGACCATAGAAGATCACACATGGCACCGTCATGTGGTACTTCTTGCTTTCTATCAATCGTCCTGATCTGCCAAGAGAAAGGCATGGACAAACTAGTCAGTTATGTATACTTATAATAGCTAAAACCTATGAATTATATCAGCACTTTCTCAACCTGGTCTAGAGTCATAATAGCTGGAGAGAGACCTCCATGAACACAAAATATCTTGTTCTCGACAAGAGCTGAAAGACTTCAACATGTATAAAGATAAAAAGTTTTCGTTACAATTGAGCCAAAGTATTATTATTAATTAACACTGAGCTCCAGAACCAGAGTGTACCTCAAGTAGTCAAAGATATCTGTGCAGTGTCTCCAGACATTTACAGAGCCATATTTACGCAGGCACTCGTCATAAAATCCATATACCTACTAAAAGCAAAACTCTTAAATAGTCTGAAAACAAAAATTATACACAGGCATCAAAGGTTTCTTAACAAGACTGAAACTAAACTCACCTGTGTGATTTGGCGGCTCTCGTGGTTCCCTCTAATGAGAGTGATACGGTCTGGATATCTAACCTGTGTATATAAAAAGCAACCAGCTTGAGGGACTCTAGAAGACGATCCAAATCAAAGTAGAACACTGTTGGGCGTATTTATTATTACCTTGAGAGCTAGAAGAAGTAGAAATGTCTCAACAGAATAAAAGCCTCGATCAACAAAATCTCCAAGAAATAAATAATTCGTCTTGGGGCGGGACTCCGACTTTGAATAGCTCTTTCATGTCATAGAACTGTCCATGGATGTCACCACATATCTGTTCCAACAACAAATAAAAATCTAAAAGTATAAATCGACTAGCAAGCAAGATTTTCAAATGACAGAGAGAACAAAAATGCTATTTGCTCTTTTTTCAGACCTCAATTTCACTCTCCAAGGAATCTTTAAACTTGTAAACATAAGCAAGAGAGAAAATTTCATCCTGAGACACGGATAGACCCTTCTTTATGGTGGTGAGTCTAATTTCTCTATCCCATCATTTGCCTCTTGTTTACTTCCATACTTTGATCTCCAAGCACCAACAGTCTTGAAATCCCACACAGCCTCTGAGATCTCATCCTGAGGCACGGACAGACCCTGGCGTTTTATTGACCTATGCAACTCACAGAAGAATTTAGGGTCCTGTAGCCTGACGTACTCATGCAAAACTTGCTCATGATTTGGGATCCAATTCCTGGGAAACGGAGTATAGTCACAGGACGGAATCAAAGACATGCGAGAAAACTGAACTCCCTGTATAGCATCGACAAGTCCCATTCTCAGAAGATCAGAGTATTCAGGTGCAGAGTTATTGCTACTCTCGCTTAACGGATGACTTAGATCCCGTGAGGCTATGCCGTACACTTTGGCACGAGACTTAAGCCTATATCTTGCGGCATATAGCTTAGCCAAAGAGCTTCTCACGACATAAGCACAGAACCCAACAGCCTTCTTTCGATTGTCGGCGTACTTGTACCAATCAGCCATTGTTTCAAGAAACTTATTCATCTGAGAGTTACTATGAGCCTGGCTTGAATAAAGCATTGGGTTGCAAGGTAAAGGCTCTGGATCTTTGTCACCTTTCACAAAAGCAAGCCGCCTGAATCGACGGATACATTGTTCTAAACTTGCAGACACAGAGAGCAACGTTCCCACGCCCTTTTTGCTCACAATGCTGCCTCCGCTTCCAGTGTAACGCAGCGTAGGGTAAATAACTCTCCTGCAAATTATGTGGTCAAGAAACTCAACACCTCTACTTATATGTTCAATCTCCAATTTTGAATTATCCAGCCTCAAACCGAAAACTCTATCGCAAAACTCAGTTATCTCCTTCCGCATCTTCACTGCATCCTCTCTGGGACCTCTGATCCCAATCAGAAAATGGCCACCGTACCTAACGTAATCCATTTTCCTAGTTTTCTCCTTCCCACTTGATGGAACAAACTCTGGCCAGGCTGGGTTATGACAACCGTCTTCAATAGACTCCTTCCATATTGAATCATCTCTACAAGGTCTAAAGTAGTCAACTATCTTCGCTTCCATAAAGCGATCCAACTCATCAAGACATACATTAGCAAGCAAAGGACTCAATATTCCACAGTGGCCATAACAAGGCACCTTCGCAGCTTCCTTAGGAGCAAAACTGTAGAACGTCCTCAGCCAATAAGGATCCGGTTTTGGCTCATCGTCACTCAAAATCTTCTTCTTCGTCCTCATCCTCTTCTCACGTTGGATCCTCCTTTTAACACCCAATCCATCTCCATTTTTCTCGACGACGGCACGCTTTAGCACGCTCTTATCATCAGCAGACACTCTCAGAGAGGATTCGATCAAGCCGAGAACTTTCCTATCCTTGACAACTCTCTCAAGGCAGTTCATCACCACATGGACATCAACATGATCCAGCATTTCACTAACATCGCCTTTCATGAACCACAAGTATCCGGCGAAGTTGCTTCTGATAGTTCTAATCACAGTATGCGGATTCCTACCTGGTCGAAACCCATGGCTCTTACTCGAGAACCGAGCCTCGAAGAAAGGTTCCACAATCATCAATAGAACCTCATGGACCACCCGATCCTGAAAAATCGGCTCTTCTGACTCCATAATCTTTCTTAGCTTCCCTTTCGACATAGCTTCTCCTCCATTCGCCGAGAATTTATCGCTGGGGCTCCTCACGAGCTGATTCATCTTGTCGTTCCACCGGAATTTGCCGCCGGGACGCGTGACGGCTTGTTGGAGGGAGAGAAGCGAGCGTAGGGCGTTGGCGTGGATTGCATTTCGCGGCGGGAAAGTTCCGGAGACGTGAGCGCAGGTGCGTTGATAAGCTAGGATCCATAAGTCGAATTTGGAGAGGAAACCTGTGAGGTTCGAGAAAGTAGCACGAGGAGGAGAAGAGAATGATTTGACCCAGAGGGAGAGGCAGATATCGACAGGATCTTGCTTGACAAGTGAATATGGTTCCTGTGTCGGTGAAGCTTCTCGTGATTGAGATTGGCGATTTGGGTGGATTGAAAGGGATGAGATTGGCTTGAGGAATGAATTGCAGGGAAAGTGTTCGACGATATTCCTCAAAGAATATGTCACTCTTCTCATTCTTCCTTTAGAGCGGCTAATAAGTCGTTTAATCTTTAGGTTGCAACTAGTATGTACAAGGAGAAGAAGACTCTTGTAGAAGGAGAGGCTTCACTTCATTATGCTATGTCGTTTAATTGAAGTTATATATGTCGTTTAATTCTATAGAGGTGAAACAAAACCGTTGATAGTAGTAAACTAGTAAATCATTTTTTCTACTATATATTAATGAAAAATGAGGATACATATACATTAACAAAAATTAAATATATTCTATTGTATAGTGTTTTATTTGCACTGTAAATATACTGATGAAAATTGAGTTTTACAAAAGTTGAACCCAACCTTGCTACCATGGCAAAAAGAAAGCTAAAAAACATGTTAGCAAAAGTTTAAAGACCTCCGGATTACAATAACCCATTGTTGACAAATCCATGAATCTCGGAACTGTCGTGGATGCCTTGTTGCAAGAGATTACATTGCGGTGGTTGAAGAGCGTGTTGTTTAACATCTTTCCCTCAAAATGTTGTATACCAAAGCCTTGTGCCACCAATTTCCTTAGCGTCAGTTTTGAGCTTCATACGATCAATTAGAGATGTCCGGGAGTTGAATGATGTTAGGATCTAAGAGCCTTGAGGCGTCGACTTTCCTCAAGATAAGAACCAAACACACCAAGAACAGAACACGTTTGTTGTGAAAACAGAGAAGAAGAAAGAGCTTTGTGTAAGAACAGAGGAAAGAAAGAAAAACAGAGCACACAACCAAGTTTACCCAGTTCACGCCCGTTAACTAGGGTCGTTACGTCTGGGCCGAGACTCACCTCGGAATCCACTAGATTTAGAGAGTTTACAGCACAAGAAGATACAAGTAGTCACTCTAATACCCTTCACTAGTACTTAGACACTACTCTGTTATCTTCTTGTCTAAGAGAACACAATGAACACTTGTTTATGCTATTCAAAGTTTCTCTCTCAACACTCTCTCTAAATCTATCTCAAGTCTCTCGTAACTCTCTCTCTTGCCCCTTGTGTCCTTTTATATTGATGACACACTAGGGTTTCTTGTGCTACACAAGCCGCCGCGTTAACGTCTCCGAAACGCCGTTAGCTTAGCAGAAGCGTGGACTTTCCTTTTTGAGCACAAACAGACTGAGGTCGTCCTAAAGGCAGAAACAGACTTAAGCTTGTTTTATATTGCAGAAAGCCGTTACCCCTGATTGTGGTCCAAAAGCAACTTAACCATGGTTTGGTTTATTTCCACCATAGTTAGTCTTTACTTTCCACGCTGGCAGAATCACGTGAGCTTGATCATCAAGTTATCTTCTTCACAAATCTCCACCAGATAACATGAAGAACAAGCCATTTCCTGCACATAACAGAGAGAGAGAGTACCTTGAGAGTTACATGGATTCCAGTCTCGGATTCCCTGAGTTTATTACTCAGGCTTGACCTGTAGCAAGTTCAACGCCGCCTGAAACTTGCTCACAGCCAACACCTTGGTGAATATATCAGCCGGATTCTTCTCGGTTGATATCTTTAACACCTCAACATCACCATCTGCAATGACATCTCGGATGAAGTGATACTTCACGTCAATGTGCTTCGTCCTTTCATGATGCACATTGTTTTTAGAGAGCGCAATGGCACTCTGTGAATCGCAGAAGATCTCCACACTTTTCTGATCATAACCAAACTCCTTCATAAGACCCTTCAACCACACTGCTTCTTTAACCGCTTCAGTCAATGACATGTATTCAGATTCTGTTGTTGAAAGGGCAACAACTCGTTGCAGACCAGATTTCCAGGTGATTGTGTTACCACCGAGAGTAAACACTAAGCCAGTAATGGATCTTCTTCGATCAGGGTCTGCAGCATAATCAGAGTCACAATAACTCACTATCTTGAACTCAGATCTTCTCTTGTAGCATAGCCTCGTCTTTAGGCTTCCCTTGATGTACCTCAGCACCCATTTCACTCCTAACCAATGATCTTTGACAGGACTGCTCATAAATCTGCTTATGACCCCCACAGGATACGCCAAATCAGGCCTTGTGCCTATCATGGCATACATGATGCTTCCCACTGCATTTGAGTATGGAATAGACTTCATGTATTCTTCATCTTCAGCCAGCTTAGCTTCAGTAGCTGCACACATCCTCATGTGAGCTCCAAGTGGTGTTGTTACAGATTTTGCTTCTTCCATCTTGTAAGTTTCAAGGATCTTGTTCAAATAACCCTCTTGAGACAACCACAAAGCACCAGCAGCTCTGTCTCTAGTGATCTCCATCCCAAGAATCTTCCTTGCTGCTCCAAGATCCTTCATTTCGAATTTTGAGCTGAGATCCTTCTTTAACTGCAGAATAGCTTCTTTGTTCTTTGCAGCCACAAGCATATCATCAACATAGATGAGTAGATACATCAAAGAACCATCACTCAAACTCTTCACATATGCACAACTGTCGTAATTGCTTCTTACAAAACCAATCTCAGACATGTAGTTGTCAAACTTCTCATTCCACTGCCTTGGGGCCTGTTTTAAACCATACAGAGCCTTGTTGAGAAGACATACCTCATTTTCTTTGAACATCTGACCATACCCTTCAGGAGGTGTCATGTAGATCTTCTCTTTCAAGTCTCCATGCAGAAAAGCGGTTTTGACATCAAGTTGCTCCAGCTCAAGATCTTCTTGTGCAACAATCGAAAGTAGTATCCTTATAGATACATGTTTCACCACTGGAGCAAAGATCTCGTGATAATCAATTCCTTCTCTTTGAGCATACCCTTTGGCTACTAATCTTGCTTTGAAACGTGGGTCTTCTACTTCAGGAATTCCAAGTTTATACTTGTAGATCCATTTGCAGCCAATAACCCTCTGATTCACTGGTCTTGGTACCACAGTCCATGTGTTGTTCTTGACCAGTGATTCCATTTCGTCATTCATAGCAAGCTTCCACATTTCCCAGTTTGAGTCCAGTTTTGCTTCAGTGTAACAATCTGGCTCAACAGAAAACCCATCTTCAGTAGTATACAGAGCCTCTGCAAAATAGTCTTCATCATCAAAACGCCTTGGTGCTTTGATTACTCTCCTGTCTCTGTCTCTGACCAGATGATAGCTTGGAGGTGATTGATTTATCTCAATCTCTGCACTGTCATTGCTCTCAGGTGCTTGTGGTGATGTCAGACTTGGGCTTGGTGATGTTGGAGTGTTGCTGACGACCCCAAAGTCTCCACCTGAAGTAGTATCTCCATCTGCTTCAATATCTAGATCCAAATAAGATCCGAATGATCATCTTCCTCCACAGTAATGTCATCTTTTCTCTGCAACAGATCTTTGTAAACCTCATTCTCTTGAAAGATAACATTTCTGCTCACAGCACACTTTCTCTCCTCCATCAGCCATACTTTGTATCCTTTAACTCCAGGAGGATACCCAATAAAGACCCCTTTCTTAGCCCTTGGATTCAACTTTCCATCATCAATATGAATGAACACAACACAGCCAAATCTCCTCAAGTAGCTGTATCCTGGTGGTTTTCCAAACCACTTCTTGTCTGGTATGTCGAAGTTGATTGCAGAACACGGAGTCTTATTGATAAGAACAGATGCAGTAAGAGTCGCTTCAGCCCAGAACTTCTTAGGAAGACCTGAGTCACTCAACATTGTTCTTACTTTCTCCATGAGTGTTCTGTTCATGCGCTCTGCAACTCCATTTTGCTGAGGAGTGTAAGCACAAGTGTGATGTCTCTGAATTCCCCTTGACTCACAGAAACCATCAAACATCTTGTTGCAGAACTCGAGTCCATTGTCTGTCCTCAACGTCTTCACTTTCTTCTCGCATTGATTCTCCACCAGACTGACCCACTCTACAAACTTCTCAAACGCCTCATCTTTTGTCTTGAGAAAATAAACCCAGACCTTTCTTGAGTAATCATCAATAAATGATATGAAATATTGACAATTACCAAGAGACAATGGTACAGATGGAGCTCCCCACAGATCAGAATGAACATACTCTAGCTTCTCCTTTGAGTCGTGTTGAGCTATGTTGAAACCAACTCGTTTAGCTCTCCCATATATGCAGTCTTCACACGTCTCAAACACAGACACCTTCCTCTTGTCTAGTAAACCCTTTCTCAGCATTATGTTCATGTTCTTCTGGCTCATGTGCCCCAATCTTCTATGCCATAGCACTGTATCATCTTGTCTCCTCTCTACAGCAAGAGATTCCTCTGTAACAGGTTTCCACTTCAGCAAATACAGAGTATCAAATCTCTTTCCAGTCAACAGAGTTTGACTTCCTGCCTTGATACTTAAAACACCATCTTCTGACTCAAACTTGTAACCAGCTTTCTCAAAGGTTCCCAAAGACAACAAATTTCTATCCATTTCAGGGATGTACCTGACATTTGTGAGCAGAACGCTTAGACCAGCTTCGTTTTTGAGTCTGATTGTTCCAACGCCTTTGACCTTGGACACGGTCTTGTTCCCCATCCTGACTGAACCCGCTGCTTCTTCATCCAGATCTTCAAACCATTCTCTCTTGTACGTCATATGATAGCTACAGCCTGTGTCCATGATCCACTCATCTTCAAGATGTATGTCTGTAGAAGATAGAGCTTCTGACACATACAAACCGGTTGCTTCAGTTACATTGTTTGCTTCAGTTACATTGCTCTTCCCGTTAGAGGACTCTCCTCTACTGTGGCTTTGATCTTTTGATCTGAAATGAGCTTTATTCTTGTTGGGGCAGGTGTTTTTGAAGTGGCCTTCTTCACCACAGATCCAACATCCTCGTTTACTCTTAGATTTGGACCTTGATCGATTTGCCTTTGAGCCCCTTTCTCTCTGCTCACTTCTCCCTCTGGTCTCGTTCTTGTCTTTCACGAACAGACCCTCAGCTTGACCTTTGAAACTCTTTTTGTTTGACCCAAACTCCAGCTCCTTTGCATATATGGCTGCAATAACCTCATCAAGAGTTAGGATGTTGCGTCCTGTACCATACTTCAGAGTATCCCTCAGTTGATCAAACTGTCTTGGAAGCGACATCAGCAAGAGAATGGCTTGATCTTCATCTGACACAACAACACTTGTGCTCTCCAAATCTGTTATAAGATGAAGAAACTCATCGATGTTTCCTTCAATAGACAGATTTTCAGACATCTTGAAGCTGTATAGCTTCTGTTTCAGATAGATCCTATTTGGGAGGGCTTTAGATATATAGAGTTTGTCTAGAGCGTTGAGCATATCAGCTGCAGTCTTCTCCTTTTTTATCTTCCTCAGGACCTGATCTGAAACACTCAAAACAATGGTGCTTCTAGCTTTCTTCCTTTTTTCTTCTAAGGCTTCCTCCAACTTGATATCTTCTGTATCTTCATCTGACGACGGGTCTGGATCAAAAGTTCTTTCTTTCAGCGTGACTGTCTCCTTCAGAGCAGCACTCAGACCCAGAATGTCTAGATGAGCTTCTAGCTTCTCTTTCCACAGTGTGTAGTCTCCACGACCATCAAACTTCTCCACCTCTATCCTTGCCGAAGACATGGCTCTTGGCAAGCACGAGCTTCACCAAGCCACTACCAGGGATGAACCTGGCTCTGATACCAATATGTTAGGATCTAAGAGCCTTGAGGCGTCGACTTTCCTCAAGATAAGAACCAAACACACCAAGAACAGAACACGTTTGTTGTGAAAACAGAAAGAAGAAAGAGCTTTGTGTAAGAACAGAGGAAAGAAAGAAAAACAGAGCACACAACCAAGTTTACCCAGTTCACGCCCGTTAACTAGGGTCGTTACGTCTGGGCCGAGACTCACCTCGGAATCCACTAGATTTAGAGAGTTTACAGCACAAGAAGATACAAGTAGTCACTCTAATACCCTTCACTAGTAAATGAGATGGGTGGAAGTCATAATCTAGCTTGCCCTTTATTAAGTTTGGTATAATTTGTATAACTAACAAAGCATCTTTCAAAATAGAGTTGATTGTCCTAAACAAAACATTACAAAACAAAAATGGACGAGTAGTGATATCATTTCTACTGGCATCCCATTTCTTTCGAAAGAGTCTTATTATATATACTTTCCCACTCGCTTTCAGAAATCTGTTTCTCAATACTCTTTTTTTTTTTTTTAATTGAATGTAAAATTTATTCAAACCCAAAAAAAGTCATTGTTTACATCAAGTGCTTCATAGTTTTGAGTTTTTTTCTCAATATTCGATTGACACATTACTAAAGCAGAGTTGCGTGACTGATGCAATTTATCGAGACAAGGAAGATATCACTTGTATGAATTGTTTAAATGTGATTTTTAAAAATTGTTTTTCACTTGCCATTACAAAATTATGCGTTTTGGTTCTTTGAAGCCTGGCCATTTGACCATACAAGCCGCAATTTCAGTAACATTTATTTACCAGGGAAGCAAGATCCATGATGAGTTTCCTAATTAGGTAAAAAAAAAGAAATGCATCTACACATCAAGGTTAGTAGAGTTATTGTAAAGTTATATTGCTATGTGTGACTAAGAAAAGGAATAAATGAAAAGAAATGAGTATTATACTTGGTTTCTAAGTCTTTGTAAATGTATGAGATGATAGATTTAAGAATTCTCTTTTTTTTGTGTTGTTAAAAAAAGGGGTATACATATGTTTGTAAATAATCACATTTTGATGATAATTGCAATGCTGATTAATAGATGGTATCATGGTATTTTGTTCCTTTGGGTTATGTACTTTTACTTGGGTTCAAGATGTTTAAACAGTATGTTTTTCTAATTAGTAATTTCCCTTTGTCTTGACTAATTCATAAGTAGATAATTAGTTGGAAATGAAACAAAATTAGTTTGGTAGTTTTTGTTTTGCGTTAGGGTATTCTGTAGAGTGTAGATATATAAAATCTGCAAACTTTATGATCATGTCGATATTACCGAAAGAAAGTTCAAACTAAGAGTAATTTGCAGTCGGAGTTTTACTATCCCCTGGGATTAACGGAGCATGAGTTGATAAAAGTCCTTCCGGGAGTGAAGTATACGTTCTCAGTTTATCAAGTGGGGAGTTAATTAATAGCTGTGAGGAAGCTCCGCTCTCAAAGCCGAAGTGAGAACCATAGCAAAGATACGGCATTAATTAGAACATTACTCCAATTCTTGGGTTTTTGTATGCATGTTTAGAAGCTAAATTATTATCTTTACAACATTTCTTAAAACGTACCGAAGAAAGAAAAAAAAACCTAAAATATATTTTCTTAGACTGTACATGAGTGAGTTGGTTTCAGCGCTGTACTGTACTCAAATCGATCATTTCTTAACAAAGACGATGCTTCCTTAGTCTTAAGCTACTCGTTAACTATGCTTTAAGGTTTTTCAACTCTTTAATCTTCTAAACCTTAAAGCTTCTCTCATCTTTGACAATCTGCATTCTTCTTCAGCTCATTCTCTCTATCAACCAAAAAGTTTGTTTTAGGATGGATCAGACAACTCCTCTATTTGTCTTAAAAGATGAATGAAGCTTCTTCGGATTTAAGCTCCTCATTTTTGGAAAACAAGAAAAGTAAATGCAGAGAGAAACACAGTCGCATAGTGTAAATATTTGTACTTGTTGAGTTTCTAGACAAGTATGTTTAGTAATCGATTGTTCAAAGTTTGTGATATTTGTTATCATTTTGAACGTGAATTTCTTGTCAGAATCTCGTTTGGAAGATAAGAGAAGAATTCAGAGGATAGAGGATGGAGAAATACATTATATTGTTGATGAGATTGGTAATTGGCTCTTTTCTTTTTATGTGAGTTTTTTAATAGAATTATTTGTCTTGCGGATTACTTGTAAATTTCAGAGGGAAAGAAGTAAAGTACCTGGGTGAACGCGTGTATGATCTTGAAGCCAAAGTAACTGAATCAATCATGAGAGTTCTACAGATGCGTTGAACAGTTTTTATGGCTTATTTATGGCTGAAAAAAGTGAGACAAAACCACCCAAAAGCTTTTACCTGTGTGATCTTACCGAATCTGAATGAGTGAAGTCACGGTTGCTCAAGAAAGATGGACACCTATATCTATCTGGAAGCAAGCCTTGAAGAAAACTCTGCAAAGCAAAAGCAAAGAGATTTTAGCAACTTTGATAACTCTACCATCTTATTAAGGGCCTTGAGCTCAATCAACACTATCTGCAACTAGATTTCTTTGTCATGCAGACTCTCTTTCATTATTGACAACTCCTTTATCTTCTTTCTCGCTGAAGCTTCTTGCACCTTAAGCTCTTTATTTTCTTGATTATATAATATTCGTTTTCCTTGTCAAGTTAGCTCTGCTTGAGATGTAACCAACTCATCAATCTTCTGAATCAATGAGGCAGCTTTGGCCTTGAGCTTTTCTCATCTTTGAAACTTTCTTAATTTCTTCAGCTCATTCTCCTTTTTAGCCAAATTGTGTTATTGTCTTGAGAGATCAATGAAGCTTCTCATTTTCTCATTTTCTCCTTTTTAACTCACTCTCTTTCACGAGCAAGCTTTTATTTAGAGTCCTTGGCTTTTAGGTCCTCAACCTCATGTTCTTCATCAACAAGACTTTCTTGCAGTTTCGCTAACTCTTCAGACAAGCAAGCTCTCAGCATCTTGAACAATGCTCAACAGTTTGGTTTCTTTGTCAACCAAGCTCTCGTTCGCTGCTGACAAATCTTCTTTCTTCTTAAGATAATAAATCTCCCTCCCTCTGAGTTCCTTGATTAATGCTCTTCAGTTTTGTTTCTTTATCCACCAAACCATCATTCACCTTTTTGACAGCTCATTTACTTTTCGAGAGAAGAAACTTCCATTTCTCTGAGTTTTCTGCAGTAGCGTTCTTTAGCTTGTCTTCCTTCTCCAACAAGCTTTCTTTAAGGTTTCATTATTTCAGCTCTCGCTTCTACACCTCTTTCTCTGCAGATCCCTAATCTCCTCCTACAAGTTCTTTAAGATTCTTTTTAGTATTGGCTTCTTCTTTCTCTTCTTTTTCTACATGCGCCTCAGTTTCCTCAAGATTAAGTAAGTTCTCCCTTCACAGAGAGCCCCTCTCTGAGTTTCTCATTGGCTTTCTCAAATCCTTTAAGATCTTCAAGAGATTTAGGTTTCTCTTCCTAATTGAGCACTTCTATTTGCTCGTTAACTTCTAGTGGACATTTCTTGTACTTTTTGTTCTATGGTTCAGTGATGATAAGGATCGGTTTTAGTACAACTGAAGATCCTACGGTCTTTATCTTTCTTTTTCTTCGAGTCATTGGGGCTTCCCGTTTTCATTTGGTTTCTCTTGTTCTGAAAGAAGCTTTTTTTCTAGCAACTTTTGACAAGATTGTCATGAGCTACAAAGTCTGCAACTCGGTTTATTTTTCATGTGGACTCTCTTTCATCTTTGACAACTCATGTAGCTTCTTAAGCTCTTGCTTTTCTTGATGTGTTCTCTCATCGAGCAGAGTAACAACTCATCTATTTTCTTCTTCACAGACAATGAATGCTTCCTTGTCCTTAAGCTCCCCTGTTTTCTTGAAAAACACCCTGAAACTCTTTCTCTTTATCAAGTTAGCTTTGTTTTTAAGGTTTTACGACTCTTCAGTCGTTGAACCAATGAGGCAGCTTTGGCTTTACCCAATGAGACAACTCTTCACGAGGTTTGACAAGTCTCTGCAGAAACATTAATTTCCCCATTTTCTCGGACAAGACTTTTTAAAAAAGGGAACAAGCAGATGACCTGAAATCAGCTTTTCCAAAGAACAATTTTCTCCATTAAGAGATGCAGAATATTGAATTTCATGTTTTCCTCTAACATGACAAAGCAAGCAATTGAATGCTCTTGTCTCAAACCCAACAAGACAAAGACTTAAGCAGAACCATTGAATCCTCTATTCGGACATTGTACTTTTGAGCAGACAGTTGAATCACCCAATCCAACATCATTAGACAAGCTTTCCTCCCTCAAGAACATTTTACTCTCAATCAATATGCAGAGCATTGAATTAAGCAGACTATTGAATTCCCAATCGGACTATCTTTTAAAGATTTTACTCCATGATGCAGAGATATTGAATCTCATGAACTGAATCACCCAATCCAACATCATTAGACAAGCTTTCTTGTTCATCAAGAACATTTCCTCTTAATCAATACACAAAGCATTGAATATAGCAGATTATTGAATTCTCCAATCGGACTATCACTTAAAGAAGCAATTTTACTCCATTGAGCTTCTCATGATCTTCGAAAATTTCATTCTTCCGCTCATTCCCTTTTTCAACCAAATTATTCTTGAAGATCGATCAGACAAACTCCTGTATTTGTCTTTAAGAGATGAATGTAAACCTCTTTGGATTTGAGCTCCTCATTTTGCCAAAACACCAAAGAGAGTGTAACAAGTCACTCTCTTTCACGAGCAAGCTTTGCTTTAGATTTCACAGCTCTTCAATCTTCTTTTGAGACTAGAGATTCCTTGGCTTTCGAGTTCCTCAAGGACCATACACCATCAAAGCTCCTTTTCTTTATCAACTTAGCATGTCTTTCGTTGAGTTTCATGCTCTCAGATTT